GAAGATGATGTAATCAGTCCATCACCCTTGAAATCGTAGATTTGAGGTTGTCAGTCCCTCAGCCTGGAGAAGTTCTGTTCCAAAGTCTGGAACAGAACACAACAGAACAGAACAGAACTTCTCCAGGCTGAGGGACTGACAACCTCAAATCTACGACTTCAAGGGTGATTACATCGTCTTCACATCTCTACTGCTCCTGCCTACTTTCTGTACTCGACTGAAGAAGCCTACTGTGTAGGCGAAACATTTCGGAAAAAAGTTGCCTAAATGTTGCCTATGTGTCTTACCTACCAACCTGTCGGTATTGTATACCATTTTGATAAACCTCATCCTTCATAACCCATCCACTGACAATTTTTTTTTTATTATCACACTGGCCGATTCCCACCAAGGCAGGGTGGCCCGAAAAAGAAAAACTTTCACCATCATTCACTCCATCACTGTCTTGCCAGAAGGGTGCTTTACACTACAGTTTTTAAACTGCAACATTAACACCCCTCCTTCAGAGTGCAGGCACTGTACTTCCCATCTCCAGGACTCAAGTCCGGCCTGCCGGTTTCCCTGAACCCCTTCATAAATGTTTCTTTGCTCACACTCCAGCAGCACGTCAAGTATTAAAAACCATTCGTCTCCATTCACTCCTATCAAACACGCTCACGCACGCCTGCTGGAAGTCCAAGCCCCTCGCACACAAAACCTCCTTTACCCCCTCCTTCCAACCTTTCCTAGGCCGACCCCTACCCCGCCTTCCTTCCACTACAGACTGATACACTCTTGAAGTCATTCTGTTTCGCTCCATTCTCTCTACATGTCCGAACCACCTCAACAACCCTTCCTCAGCCCTCTGGACAACAGTTTTGGTAATCCCGCACCTCCTCCTAACTTCCAAACTACGAATTCTCTGCATTATATTCACACCACACATTGCCCTCAACATGACATCTCCACTGCCTCCAGCCTTCTCCTCGCTGCAACATTCATCACCCATGCTTCACACCCATATAAGAGTGTTGGTAAAACTATACTCTCATACATCCCCCTCTTTGCCTCCAAGGACAAAGTTCTTTGTCTCCACAGACTCCTAAGTGCACCACTCACCCTTTTCCCTCATCAATTCTATGATTCACCTCATCTTTCATAGACCCATCCGCTGACACGTCCACTCCCAAATATCTGAATACATTCACCTCCTCCATAATCTCTCCCTCCAATCTGATATCCAATCTTTCATCACCTAATATTTTTGTTATCCACTGACAAATCAACTCCCAAATATCTGAAAATATTTACTTCTTCCATATTCCCTCTCTCCAATACATCCAATTTTTCTTTATCTAAATCATTTGATACCCTCATCGCCTTACTCTTATCTATGTTCACCCTCAACTTTCTACTTTGACACACCCTCCCAAACTCGTCCACTAACCTTTACAACTTTTCTTTAGAATCTCCCAGAAGCACAGTATGATCAGCAAAAAGTAACTGTCAACTCCCATTTTGTATTTGATTCCCCATAATTTAATCCCACCCCTCTCCCCAACAACCTAGCATTTACTTCTTTTACAACCCCATCTATAAATATATTAAACAACCATGGTGACATTACACATCCCTGCCTACGACCAACTTTTACCAGGAAGTAATCTCCCTCTCTCCTACACACCCTAACCTGAGCCTCACTATCCTCATAAAAACTCTTTACAGCATTTAGTAACTTACTACCTATTCCATACACTTGCAACATCTGCCACAATGCTCCCCTATCCACTCTATCCTATGCCTTTTCAAAATCCATAAATGCAATGAAAACTTCCCTTCCTTTATCTAAATACTGTTCACATATATGCTTCAATGTAAATATATACTTGATCTATACATCCCCTACCCACTCTATAGCCTCCTTGCTCATCTGCAATCCCACTCTCTGTCTTACCTCTAATTATTTCAATAATAACCCTACCGTACACTTTACCTGGTATACTCAGTAAACTTGTTCCCCTATAATTTTTACAATCTCTTTTGTCCCCCTTCCCTTTATATAAAGGAACTACACATGCTCTCTGCCAATACATATGTATCTTCCCTCTGTCATATATTTATTAAACAAAAATACCAACCACTCCAACACTATATCCCCCCCCCCCTGCTTTTAACATTTCTGTCATGATCCCAACAGTTCCAGCTGCTTTATCCCCTTTCATTCTACATGCCTCATGCACCTCCCCCACACTCACATCCTGCTTTTCTTCACTCCTAGAAGATGTTATACCTCCCTGGCCAGTACATTAGTTTACCGCCTCCCTTTCTTCATCGACATTTAAAAGTGCCTCAAAATATTCCCACCATCTACCCAATACCTCCCGCTCCCCATCTACTAACTCCCCTACTCTGTTTTTAATTGACAAATCCATTCATTCCCTAGGATTTCTTAACTTGTTTATCTCACTCCAAATTTTTTTCTTATTTTCAGCAAAATTTTTTGACAGTGCCTCTCCACTCTTTCATCTGCTCTCCTTTTACACTCTCTCACCACTCTCTTCACCTTCCTTTTACTCTCCATATACTACTTTGCTCTTCTTATATCACCTCTGCTTTGTAAAAACCTCTCATAAGCTACCTTCTTCTCTTTTATCACACCCTTCACTTCATCACTCCACTAATCACTCCTCTTTCCTCCTGCACCCACCCTCTGATAATTATACTTACGTGTACCTGTACCTAAATAAACTTACACACTGTGCTGGAGTGCCGGTACACATTAAAATCATTAATTAAGAGTGTCTTATTAGTCTTGAAAACACCATATTAATAATAATAATAATAAAATGCAACAATAATCACTGAGGCACATTAAATGTCGCATATGTTAATATAGGCATTTTCATTAATACATCAATGATATTTTTTTCAAAATTATATAATAAACAAGCTACATAACAAACATGATAAATACACCCTCACAGTAGAATAAATTAACATAAATGTGAGATTTTTTCCAGTCGTTTTGCCGGAGTGTCGGAAAGAATAACGTTTTCTCTAGTTCAACACCAAAGAAAATGTGTATACAATAGTATTACACTCACACTCTCTCACTCACACACTCACTCACTCTCACTCACTCACTCACTCTCTCACTCACTCACTCACTCACTCACTCACTCACTCACTCACTCACTCACTCACTCACTCCCTCACTCCACTCTCTCACCTCTCATCTCTCTCATCACTCACTCACTCACTCTCTCACCCACTCACTCTCTCACCCACTCACTCACTCACCCTCTCACTCACTCACTCACTCACTCACTCTCTCACTCTCTCACTCTCTCACTCTCTCACTCTCTCACTCTCTCACTCTCTCACTCTCTCACTCTCTCACTCTCTCACTCATCTCACTCTCTCTCTCTCACTCTCTCACTCTCTCACTCTCTCTCTCACTCACTCACTCACTCACTCACCCACTCACTCTCTCACCCACTCACTCTCTCACCCACTCACTCTCACACTCACTCACTCTCACACTCACTCACTCTCACACTCACTCACTCTCTCACACTCACTCTCTCACACTCACTCTCTCACACTCACTCTCTCACACTCACTCTCTCACACTCACTCTCTCACACTCACTCTCTCACACTCACTCTCTCACACTCACTCTCTCACACTCACTCTCTCACACTCACTCTCTCACACTCACTCTCTCACACTCACTCTCTCACACTCACTCTCTCACACTCACTCTCTCACACTCACTCTCTCACACTCACTCTCTCACACTCTCACTCTCACACTCTCACTCTCACACTCTCACTCTCACACTCTCACACTCACACTCTCACACTCACACTCTCACACTCACACTCTCACACTCACACTCTCACACTCTCTCTCACACTCTCTCACACTCTCTCACACTCTCTCACACTCTCTCACACTCTCTCACACTCTCTCACACTCTCTCACACACTCTCACACTCTCTCTCACACTCTCACTCTCTCACACACACTCTCTCACACACACTCTCACACACACACTCACTCTCACACACACTCTCACTCTCACACACCCTCTCACTCTCACACACACTCTCACTCTCACACACACTCTCACTCTCACACACACTCTCACTCTCACACACCCTCTCACTCTCACACACCCTCTCACTCACACAGGCTCTCACACACACTCTCACTCTCTCACATTCTCTCTCATACTCTCTCTCACACTCACTCTCTCACACTCTCACTCTCACTCACACTCTCACACACACTCTCACTCTCACACACACACTCTCACTCTCACACACACACTCTCACACACACACTCTCACACACACTCACTCTCACACACACACACTCACTCTCACACATGCTCTCACTCTCACTCACACTCTCACTCTCACACACACACTCACACACACTCTCACTCTCACACACACTCTCACTCTCACACACACACACACACACTCACACACTCTCACTCTCTCACATTCTCTCTCATACTCACACACTCTCTCTCACACTCTCATTTATTAGTTTTACCTCATTTACTCGCCTCTCACCCTACATTAAGACTACATATACTTTAGGGTAAGTAATAAGTGTACTGTATATGCATTTTATCACTCTAGGGCACTTTACATGGTGTAGTATATTACGTGTGGGTGGGGTGGCCTGGCCTGGCCTGGCTGGCTATCATACCTGCCACACCTGACTTCTCACAAATAAATACTACTCACCTCTCACCCTACATTACGACTGTGAGTGTACTGTGTGTGCATTTTACTTTTTATTGTTTTTAATGCCTAGTTTTTGTGCTAACTTAATATATGTTAGTGTAAACGTGTTATCTGGCATTTATATGCATTTGTAAGTGGAAAAAATGGCTTTCTGCTTACTGTACTGTAAATTGTTAATTTGTATAGCCTATTACAAAGGAGAGTGGTGAAAATTTTCATTTAAAGTCTTGTATAATATACTAGATCAAAATATCTTACCAATGATGTTAATTGTATTGAACTGTACTGAAGCTAGCAGTAGTGAGCCAGCACCCTGCTGTGACGGGCAGAGTGCTGAGACATACGTCACCTCCAGCGTTATTAGAGCTTCAAAGTCTCTATTTTCAATGAATGACAATGTTCCTCCCCTGGCACTACCCAGTCCACCAAACATAGGTGAACTGATTAGTGGTGGAGATGAGACACCACGTGATGATGGAAGTGGCGAGTGTGCTAGAAAATGAAAAGCAGAGGGGCATATTAAGAAAGAGAATAAGGAATCAATACAACTATAAAAAAGAATTCATTTTAAGCCCTTAACTGTCCAAACACAGATCTACGTTCTTACCGCTAGCGCTCCAAACGTAGATCTACGTTTTATTTTTCCTCCCTCCAAATTTGGCACGATTGGCCTGAGATGCCTGGTCAGCATAGAATGGGTCTTAACACTCGGTGTGCACAGTATTAAAAAAAATCTGGGACAACTTAGTACCTTGTGGGAGCACCAGCTAGAGCAAACAGCACAGCAAACACCTGGGATTCACTGATGTCATGTAGTATTAACACTCCCATTTTAAGAGGAAAGTGATGTTGACCCTGAGTTTAGTGGCTTTCAGGTGGATGTGGTCACACGTGTTCTAGAAAATATCAAAAACTTTGATAATTACCTGTGCAACATTTGTGCAACACCCTTTCAATTTTCGTACCACTGGTAGTGTCATCCTGCCAGAATCTCTTATAACCTATGCCCTAAGTAAAGAGAAACAATTCTGGAATGTGCAATACGTATTCGGCAGGCAGGCTGGCAGGCAGGCTGGCTGGCTGGCTGGCAGGCAGGCTGGCTGGCCGGTTGGCTGGCCGGCTGGCTGGCTGGCCGGCGGCTGGCTTGACTGGCTGATTGACTTTGGCTGTATGGCCCTTTGTTGCTTTGTACTTCTCTTGTTAGGTATGACATCCAAAGTTTTGCTCTAATTCAGTGATCTCTCAGCTAAGCCTATCTTTCCTCTGTTGCAGCATATTTGTGTTTTTAAGCAATTCAGTAACCCGTTTTCTTCATCTGTACTATCTCCTATGCTCTCTCTCTCTATATCTGATCTTCTTCTGGGTTTCCTCAATGGTACGTGCTTCATACATACCTTGTATGCTTCCCTATTCAGCTTCTCTAGGCACTGGTGGGTGAAAATGTTCACTTGTCAGTATGTTTGTGACTACAGTGGTATCTCAGGATACAAATTTATTTTGTTCCAGAAGGCTGTTCGAGTGCCGATACCGAACGAATTTGTTCCCATAAAGAATAATGTAAATTAGATTAATCCAATTCAGACCCCCAAAAATACACTTACGAAAGCACTTACAAAAATACACTCACACAATTGTTCGAGTTTTGAGTTGTTCGTATCCAGAGGTACCACTGTGTTTGAGTACTATTTCAATACCTAATATTAGTGTCAGAACAAAGAATAGCTATGAAATCACAAGAACTACTACAAATTGTAATTATCAGAACATAAAAATTATACAAATTAAAAAAAAGAAAAAAAGGTATATTGGCAACACATCTGAAAGCGGCAGGTGTTGCCATCAGGTAAGCGACAAGCGCCGACTTTGTGACCTTATATCTTCATAAAACTAACAAAATTTTTTACATAATATAAAGAAATGTCCTCTTTATTTAAAAAAAAAAATCAAAATATTCAGAGCGCTGAGTGAGAGAACATGGATCTACGTTTGGACAGTTAAGGGGTTAAAATCTTTCACTACAGTCACAGACCAGGCCGTGGGGGTGTTGACCCTCAGAACCTTCTCCAGGTATACTCCGGGTATACACTTAAAATTAAGAGAATTTAAGAATCTCAAAGAAAAAATATTTTATCTCAAACCTATACAACTACAACAGATATATTATTAATCTTAAATGAAGATCAAAGGAAGTATTTCTACTTGAAAACACTGAAGTAACACATTTAGTTATTTCCAGATAGGGGTCATGATGTGCCTGGAAAAGGTAAGGTAAAATCAAGTATGATCCAAGGAAGGCAAGGGTGATTTTTTCCATAATTATTTTCTGCAGTTTACACACTAAATAATTCTTTTGAGAATGTAACTGAGAGATCACGTAAGTGCTTGGAACTGAATTCCTTCTCAAAGTAGCTAACCTGCAGAATATGATAAATAAGCATGAAACAAATTTATATATACTGTACTATACAGACAATTTCATCAGGTCTACATATAATTAAAGGAGGACAATCACCTCTGGAAGCTGCATATGATGAAATAGCATGACTGATGGTTACAGGAGAAGTTGGCTTAAAGGGAGCATTGTGATCTGGAGAGGCAGGCGATGTGGGTGAACATGGCTCACTGTCCAAAAGGCTTCCACTTACACTGTCCAAACTGAAGAAAGAAACAAGTTTTAAAAACAAATCAAATAAACAAGTAGGAAGTTTCGAGATTGACAGCACTTTTGAAAATAAACACACACACACACACACACACACTAATGCTTCAGCCAAAATAATCCTATAAAAAATGTTAAAGTTTATCATTACACTAATAAGCAAACAATACAAAGAAATACCATCACACACAAAAACAAAAAAACATCAAGTCATTAACATCAAGACTTGCTTAAAATTACATCAAGGTCTCATCAGTAATTAAAGAAAAAATGACAGTTAAAATATGCTCTGTCAGTAGCCCTTAACAAGTCATACAGACAAGAAGGAGTACATACAGTACAAGCAGGTGGCTCTGGGTCAGGTGCACAATGCTCTATCCTTAATCTACAGAGAATTAATTGTCTCACAAGGACAATTCTTAAGAAAAAGGCCAAACACTCATGTCCTGTCAGACTATGTAACTTGTTACACATCTACAGGGCCCACCAGGTTTGCCATGTCCCAAGGACAGCGCACAGAAAATATAGATTGTCTGATCCAATACTGAAGCTAATCAGTAAAAGAAAAGGACCCAAGAGTCATCATTAACAAAAGCATTGTCACTGGAAGACCATATTAATTAAATTATCAGAAACTCTAAGCAATACACCAATTATTATTTAACCCCTTGACTGTCGCAGCCCCCAATCCTGAGGTGTCTCCTGGTGTCGCAAAATTTAAAAAAAAAAAATTATTTTTTCTTATGAAATGATAGAGAATCTTTTCCCGATTGTAATGGCACCAAAAAAACGAAATTTGATGGAAAACTGACAGAATTACGCTCTCGCGAAGTTAGCGACCTCAGCGATATTTACAAATCAGCGATTTCGCCCACTTTAAGCCCTATTTTCAGCTAATTCCATTGTTCCAGTCGACCAAACTCATAGCTGTTTCTTTTGAACTCTGTTTTTTCTATCGATTGAGTACAAGAAACTGCCCATTTACCAATTTCAACTACCCAATAACGTGGTCAGAAATTTGCAATTTGGCCAATTTCACGAAATTTAAAAAATATGACAATTTCAAAATAAGGTCCAGAATGAACAATGCAGACACTCCTGGCTCTAAAATAACATTTTCTTTGTTCATCAGTCATGTCTCCAGGCCCCTCTGATAATACTCTTGCTTTCTATTTTGAATTTTTATTCAAACAAAAAATAGAAGATTTACTATTATGCAGACTACTGCAATACTGTAATAATTGTGTAAAAATATCAACCCATTCATGACTGCATATTAGAATGGCTAGTTGGACATTTATTGGACAATGACATCATTTGTTTACTTTTGAACATCGGCAAAAATCAAACATCTCCCCTTTGAGCACCATTTCCAGGTTCTTTTTATAGTAAAATCAATCAAAATCACTTCTATTTCTATAATATGTTTTCCATTCTATCAAATGAGACCAAGAAAACGAGAATACAACCATAAATACTATACGAAAATAGATCACAAATTCGGCATTTTAATTAAAAAAAACAGTCGGAGTTTTTTTTTCTCATTATGCACTGCGTGCTCCAGGATTTTTTTTATATGGTGCACACTGACCACACAGACCCATTCTCTCACATGTGGGCCTACCAGCTTTCCTCCTTGATTTGAAGCCGCTAGAATTTATGAGTATATATACGTCAAACACGGTACCTCGTAAGACGTATATACACGGCCGCGACAGTCAAAGGGTTAATAACAGTCAAATACAAGGAGAAAGAAATGCATAAAAAGTAGCTTAGAACATATTTATGGTAGACAAAAATTGGAATATCCAGCAATATAAGTTTTTTTTTTTTAACATGTCAGCTGTTTCCCACCAAAGCAGGGTAACCCAAAAAGAAAGAAAAACCCAAAAGAAAGAAAAACTTTCATCATCACTCAACACTTTCACCATCACTCACACATAACCACTGTCTTTGCAGAGGCGCTCACACACGATAGCTTAGACGTCCCTCCAAACTGCCAATATCCCAAACCCCTCCTTTAAAGTGCAGGCATTGTACTTCTGATTTCCAGGACTCAAGTCTGGCTAACCGGTTTCCCTGAATCCCTTCACAAAATATTACCCTGCTCACACTCCAACAGCTCGTCAGGTCCCAAAAACCATTCGTCTCCATTCACTCCTATCTAACACACACACACACACACACACACACACACACACTTACTGGAAGTCCAAGCCCCTTGCCCACAAAACCTTTAACCCCCAGGAGAAGGGGTTACTAGCCCCTTGCTCCTGGCATTTTAGTCATCTCCTACAACACACACATGGCTTACGGAAGAAGAATTCTGCTCCACTTCCTCATGGAGATAAGAGGAAATAAACAAGAGCAAGAACTAGTAAGAAAATAGTAGAAAACCCAGAGGGGTGTATATATATATATGCTTGTACATGCATGTGTTGTGTGACCTAAGTGTAAGTAGAAGTAGCAAGATGTACCTGAAATCTTGCATGTTTTTTTTTTTTTGTTTTTTTTTGTTTTTTTTAACAAGTTGGCTGTCTCCCACTGAGGCAGGGTGACCCAAAAAGAAAGAAAATCCCCAAAAAGAAAACACTTTCATCATCATTCAACTCTTTCACCTCACTCACACATAATCACTGTTTTTGCAGAGGTGCTCAGAACACAACAGCTTAGAAGCATATACGTATAAAGAGACAACATATCCCTCCAAACTGCCAATATCCCGAGCCCCTCCTTTAGAGTGCATGTTTATGAGACAGAAAAAAAATACCAGCCATCCTACCATCATGTAAAACAAATACAGGCTTCCATTTTACACTCACTTGGCAGTATGGCAGTACCTCCCTGGGTGGCTGCTGTCTACCAACCTAGGTTAGTAAGTGTTGTAAATAATATGAAGAGAATAATAAATAAATATATTACTAGTGTGTGTAGTGGTATAAGGGGTATTATTCACTAACCAGTCGAGGGAGAAGAAAAATTAAGCAATATGAGATAATAAAAAGGGGTTTTTGAAGCTGGGAGGGATGCCAGGGTGTGTAGAGGGCATTTGAGGAAAGAGTGAGACAGGTACAAAAAAATTATTGCTAGTAGAGGCTCAACATCCAGTAGGCATATAAATGTTAGACTGCAGTGGAAGAGAATGGCTATAAGAATTTGACAAGCTGATGAAGGGTGGGCAAGGTAAAATCTAGAAAGGAATCCACAAAAAAAAAAAAAAAAAAAAAAAACTAGAAGGAAATGAAATCTGGAGGTTACAATATACAGTGGTTAAACTTAATTTTTTTTATTATAATCAGAGGATCATATTGCACCTGAAGAATGGAAGACAATCAGGTTTAATTTAGGAGAAGAGTAACTCAAATTCCTTGAATCAAGAACTTTTCATCAATATGAAAGCACCTCCAAATGAAGGGTGTACTTTGTAAGTGAATCAACATTACACTTTGATATCTGTGGCCTTCTTGGAAGATACTAGTGAGTGGAAGATGGACAATGTAGTTGCTAATTTGGGTCACCCTGCCTTGGTGAAAAAATAATTAAAAATCCCGTGGAAAAAATAAAACTCACCTCACATTCCGAGAGCTTGCAACAAGAAGCTCAAAGTCAGGTCCGAAAGTCTGCAATGCATCTACAAGGAGTAGAGAATGGACACTCAAAGTAGCCGTGCAGTCAAATGGACGCTTGTTTAAATTTGCTCTAACTCCTGTGACCTGAAGTTCGGCAATACTTCTTCCCCGTGACTGCAACTAAGAACATGTGAAAAAGTATGCATTAGGCTAAAATATAAAACCTTTATTCTATACAAACTGTCCTTTTCTTTTAAAATAATATCATTTCTTAAGACTTTGGTGTTAAGAATGGGGTGCAATACCTCTATACTACCTGCAAAGGTATAGAAAATAGTAATGCATTAGAATACAGAAGGCAGAAGGTAGCCAGACTGAGCAAAAAATGGATGGGAGGTCTAAATGATTCAGAGGGTAAAACTGATAAGGTATATTCCACAGTGCATCACTAAATCATATACTGAAAGAATTTTTAATTTTTTAAAATGTAATATTATTACATTTGTCATTACTGAGGGACCAGGGCTTGACCCTGGCATAAGTGGAAATGTTGGGCATGGTTCCTTATACCCAATGTCCCTGTTCAACTAGCAGTAACTAGTTACTGTCTCTTGTGCGTTGCATCCCAGGGAGAGTAGTTATTTTTTTCATATTCTCTTTACCATATCAATAAATTTTTGTTCAACTTTCCAATGTGCTGTTACTCCTCCCCATCAACCACATACCTTTAGAGCATCATTCGCTAGTGCTTATGCATGTAGCTCCAAACCAGTTCACCACAAAAGTATCTTTTTCTAAACATTAAATCCTCACTTGAATGCTATTCTGCAGTTCAAACTTATAAATGCATTTATAGTCTCATTTTCCAAATGGCTAACCACTGTGTTCACATCCTCACATACAATTTAATACACTCCTTACCAAACTCTGGCTTTAACCCTTAATGCAGATCTAGGTTTTTTTACATGCTTTCAAATGGGGAAAATCAAGGTCAGAGTGCTACGCACATAAACCTAGATCTACGTTTGGACAGTTTAAGGGTTAAATATAATATTTTAAATATAAAACATGAAAGATATTTAAAATTATAAAACATTTCATCTCACCTCCAAAGACAATTTATCCACTGTGAATTGTATAACTAGAAGCTTTCCTTCATCTGTTGATGAGGATGTTTCTTTACTGGAGTCATCTTCACCTTGGTCATCACCGGACATTAGTGTGCTGGACCGACTTAAGCTGCTGATGCTATTTACCTCTGCAGAATCTTTCCTGTGTAACAATTATAAGAAGAAAAGAAACATGCAAGTCAAAATTTTGCGTGTATTAATTCAACCTTACCAAAAGTGAATTATAATGTGATTTTTTTTTCCAGCATGCTGGCCATCTCCCACTGAGGCAGGGTGCCCCCAAAAAAAGAAACACTTTCATCATCATTCACACATATTAGTCTTTTCAGAGGATTACTTCATAATCATTATATAGCTGCTAATTATAATTTAACATACATGAGTAAATAACTACATCTTTTAATGGCTCTGTGGATTCTTATCCCCATGATCTGGTCTCAGACTAGGTATCCTACATAGGAAAGGAATAAGAACAGAAATAAAAACTTTGTATTAGGAAAGTAAAGGAAAGTGAATACTTAATGTAAATAGCTTGTAAGATTATCAGTCCTTTTACATATTTTTTTTTAACAAGTCGGTCATTTCCCACCTAAGCAGGGTGACCCAAAAAGAAAGAAAATCCCCAAAATGAAAATACTTTCATCATTCAACACTTTTACCTCACTCATACATAATCACTGTTTATGCAGAGGCACCCAGATACAACAGTTTAGAAGCATATATAAAGATCTTTCTTTCTTTCAACACACCGGCCGTATCCCACCAAGGCAGGGTGGCCCAAAAAGAAAAATGAAAGTTTCTCTTAAATTTAGTAATTTATATGGGAGAAGGGGTTACTAGCCCCTTGCTCCCGATATATAAAGATATAATATAAAAAGTGACCATCAGGGCCCCAGTGATGGATCTCACAGTGTGGCTCTTTACTGTCCTATTACACATCCCTCCAAACTGACAATATCCCAAACCCCTCCTTTGGAGTGCAGGCATTGTACTTCCCATTTCCAGTACTCAAGTCCGGCTATATAAAAATAACCAGTTTCCCTGAATCCCTTTACTATTACCCTGCTCACACTCCAACAGCTCATCAGGTCCCAAAAACCATTTATCTCCATTCACTCCTATCTAACACACTCTGTGATGTTTGTCTGGACATCATTATAATAATTGACACATTAAAACACTGTTCATCAAAAATAAATTTTGCCAATTTTAAAGGAAAGGAGTGGCTTTTGAAGGTGTGCATATGTAGGACATTCAAACCCTGATATTCAAATACAGTAAACTCTTGATTGATCTTTTTTTTTTAACATGCTGGCCCTCTCCTACCGAGGCAGGGTAACCAAAAAAAAAAAGAAACATCATTCACATTATCACTGTCTTGCCAGAGGCACACAGATACAACAGTTTAGATGTCCCTTCAAACAGAAAATGGTGGGATACAGCCGGTTTTGTTGAGGAAAAAAAAAAATAACAAAATAACAATACCATGAGTGGAACCATACACAAATAACCTGCACATTATTCATTTTCCCATCTTGGCTACCCTTCCCATTTCACAGACTCTGCCTTCTCACGTGCTAAACGGACTTTCTTCTCTCTCAAACTCTCTATTCCTGTGAACTCTTCTGTCCTCTGCCTTCCCTACATTTCCGGTCTATCTAATCTCAACAACTCTCTCCGTTCCTTAGTCATCAAACTCACTTTTCGCCACACTAACACTCTTCGGAAACTGGCCAATCTCTTTCTGACAGACTTAGGGAGCACAAAAGTAGTGTTAGGCTTGCCGACAACAACAATGCTCTTTTCTGTCATGTCACAGATCACAGTCATCCTATTGACTGGTCTTCTGCTAAAACTGTCTACCCTACTTCTAACTTTCACAGTCGCCATTTGGTTGAATCCTCCCTTATACACAACTTTCCTTGTGTGAATCTAAGTCCTGGCTTTGTCTCTGTAGATGCCTTCCTTTCCCATTACATTGTAAAATGCTCCAAACTTCAGAACACCCCTGACTTGACCTGATTCCTCATTCTTTTTCTCCCTTCTCCCTCTTCCCCTTTCCTCTTTTTCCATTGGGTTTTCTTTCTTCTGCCTTGGGTATTTGTTCTTTTATTATTTTTTTTCTACTCTTTGTTCTTGCTCCTATCCAATGTGGGCCCCTAGCTCCCTTGCAGTGCTCCTCTTTCTTAGTATTTGACTGACTCTACTACTACTACTACTACCTCCACCACTACCCCTCTTGCTCCCGTCAATGTTTGCTGGTCTATATATACTCTCTCCTCTCCTTTCTGTTAGTGTGACTTCGTAAATGGTCCAAGTCGGACTGAAACATCGTCATAAGTTCCTCTCTTCTATGTGAGAGTTATTTGTGTAGAAAATACATATCTCAAACCCCTCCTTTAAAGTACAGGCATTGTACTTCCCACCTCCAGGACTCAAGTGTAGCTAACTGATTTCCCAGAATCTCTTCATAAAATATTATCTTGTTCACACTCCACCACTCCTATCTAAATAAACCATTGATATAATGGACTAATGGGAGGATTGTCCAATAATAACGTTAAAATATAGCAATAAAATGCACTAAAGTACTCTACTGTGTAAATATAGTACTGTACTCTCAATTTACAGTTTTTTTTTTTTCAACAAGTCGGCCGTCTCCCACCGAGGCAGGGTGACCCAAAAAAGAAAGAAAATCCCCCAAAAGAAAATACTTTCATCATCATTCAACACTTTCACCACACTCGCACATTATCACTGTTTGTGCAGAGGTGCTCAGAATACACAGTTTAGAAGCATACACATATAAAGATACACAACATATCCCTCCAAACTCCCAATATCCCAAACCCCTCCTTTAAAGTGCAGGCATTGTACTTCCCATTTCCAGGACTCAAGTCCGACTATATGAAAATAACCGGTTTCCCTGAATCCCTTCACTAAATATTACCCTGCTCACACTCCAACAGATCGTCAGGTCCCAAGTACCATTCGTCTCCATTCACTCCTATCTAACACGCTCACGCACGCTTGCTGGAAGTCCAAGCCCCTTGCCCACAAAACCTCCTTTACCCCCTCTCTCCAACCCTTTCGAGGACGACCCCTACCCCGCCTTCCTTCCCCTATAGATTTATATGCTTTCCATGTCATTCTACTTTGATCCATTCTCTCTAAATGACCAAACCACCTCAACAACCCCTCTTCTGCCCTCTGACTAATACTTTTATTAACTCCACACCTTTTCCTAATTTCCACACTCCAAATTTTCTGCATAATATTTACACCACACACATTGCCCTTAAACAGGACATCTCCACTGCCTCCAACCGTCTCCTCGCTGCTGCATTTACCACCCAAGCTTCACACCCATATAAGAGTGTTGGTACTACTATACTTTCATACATTCCCTTCTTTGCCTCCATAGATAACGTTTTTTGACTCCACATATACCTCAACGCACCACTCACCTTTTTTCCCTCATCAATTCTACGATTAACCTCATCCTTCATAAATCCATCCGCCGACACGTCAACTCCCAAGTATCTGAAAACATTCACTTCTTCCATACTCCTCCTCCCCAATTTGATATCCAATTTTTCTTTATCTAAATCACTTGATACCCTCATCACCTTACTCTTTTCTATGTTCACTTTCAACTTTCTACCTTTACACACATTCCCAAACTCATCCACTAACCTTTGCCATAAACATTGAAAAATAAATTAAAAAGTACAATTTACCTAGTGAATGTGCTCCATTATTTTAAAAGTCCATTATACTGAGGGTTTACTATGTATACCAGATGTCATCCTCACAAATCGTTGTCTCTTCTTTAAAATCCAATGTTTTATAAAATAAAAGTGTCAGTAAATTCAATTAAATGTTTCATTTCAGCATCAGAGAGATATAATACTGTAAGCAGAATAAAGTTTGAATATGTTGAACTTGTGTTGAAGAGGTAACAGTCACATACTTCAAGCCCTTCAGTTTCTTTAGTTAATCTTAAGTTAATTTTAAGCATGCCCATAATGCTGTGCATACAAGGGGCTTTTGGCATGTACACCCAATCACTATATTTCTTTGTACAACTATGTATCATGTCCAAATACAAAATAAATAAATAAATAAATAAAATGTAGTGAATGCCTTACTTGGATTTTCTTCTGAGAATGCTTTAGTTGATAGGAGCTAGTGTCAAACAAGTGCCATAGAGAGGGGTAAACAAATACTACCGGTAAAGACTCTTTCGGCAAGAAACCTTTGATTAATATAAGGTTTCACCAACTGGGAGTTTTATCAAGTACTGTGGTATTTGATAAAGTCGCCAGCAGAAAAAAGGTTGCATTAATAAAAGGTTACTTTACTAAAAGTGCCTTTTTTTACCAACAAAGAAGGAAGTGCAGTAAATAGCAAATAATGCAATACGTTATACTTTGATCTTAATGTTTAGAAGGTGACAGTGAAGATTCGTATATAAATAATTACATTTATTGCATAAGACATCCACTGCTGATCATAACAAGTGTACCCTTATGACAGCCATGCAAGATGCATCTGTTTGCTCCTATACAAAGGATGTAGAGATAAAGTCAAGAGGTACAGCAAGATGCTGTAGTTTCTATAGTGATGAATGTCCTTCCAGATAATCCAATTAGAAGCTTCAGCCCCATCCTACATCCAGACCCCTGTAAGTTGAACTAAATTCACATAGACCTCTTACACCTGAATAAGTGTACTCTTTGAGATTCCTGTGTAATCTAGCAGGGATAGCCACCACCTTAATCATTCCTACAAATGAACATTTCACCCCCACAATAGCAATTATTTCACATGATGGCAGGATTGCTGGTGTCTTTTTTTCTGTCTCATAAGCACGCGGGATGACAGGTATATCTTGCTACTTCTACTTACACTTAGGTCGCACTACATATGCATGTACACATATATATACTTACACACCTATCTGTGGTTTCTTCTATTTTTTTAATAGTTATTGTTCTTCTTTATTTCCTCTTAACTACATGGGAAAGTGGAACAAAATTCTTCCTCTGTAAGCCATGCGTGTCATAAGAGGTGAATAACACTGGGAGCAAGGGGCTATTATCCCCTTCTCCTGTATAAATACTAAAAGTAGAAAGAAAGACTTTCATTTTTCTTTTTTATGTCACTCTGCTTTGGTAGGATGAGGCCAGTTTGTTGAAAAAAAAAAACTGCCTAAAAAAGCTTAGCAAACCCTTTAAAAAATTCACTATATTTTCCATTATGCAGTATTTATTTCCCAGTCTCTGGGGTTATTGAGGAGGCATACCAAATCTCAAGTTATTTGCTTTCTATTGTAATTGACTGCACACAATTTTAAATTAAACAGATAAAACAAGTGCTAACCTTGTTGCTTCAAGAGGCTGGTCGCTATAAAACTTTGACACCATTGATCGTAAAGCTTGAACTTTCTGCTCATTTATGTGCAGTACTAGCCTTGGCAAAGTACCGGCTAATGTAGCACTTGGCCATTGCTGCTGTGCATCTGGCATTGCCACCACACGCCGCTCAAGCTGTAAGTTGATGCTAAACCGATCCAACACATGCATCTGACCTTAGGGAATAACAAATTTAAACTATTTTCTTACATTCATCCTATATTAAAAGATATTTGATGCATGATATTACATGATTATGAACAAAATCAGCATTATTTAGTTGAATTAACTATTTTATATAATACAGCAGCATGATATGTAGAGAATCTAAATAATTAATATAAGTAGACCAACTATTTTTAAAAAGTATGTTATAAGAGGAAAACAAAAATAACAGATGCACAATTTAAAAAGCTAATTCAGCTGAAGAATTGTGTGGGCTTTTACAATTATTATTATTAACTGCAGGAGAGGTTAATAATAGTTTGATATATACCTGTGCCTTTCACATATGCAAACCTCCAATTGTCTCGAACTTTCCCTACTAAAATCTGCATGTCACACAGTTGAAGATCATACCTGAAACAAAAAAAACATACGTACAAGATTCATTTAAATAGATTTCTGGTTAAATTCACACAAGGCATTTAAAAAACTGAACATAATTCACTGTATATCTTATGATCCACTCTCTCAAATTTAATATTTTTTGCTTATCTTTGTTTACACTTTTATTATTTTATTAAACCTGGAATGACAAACTTTTTCTTCATCTTCACTAGAATTATACGTAGCTGGAAATTCTGTTTCTTAACTTGAGTTCCACATTAAAGTTGAAGGATAAATAAATTCATCTTGAAAACTTCAGGATGTCATCATGAGAAATGTATGGAATCTTTATCCAAATTGTTCAAGTTCAACATTACAACAAAAACAATGTATTCAGCAAAGTTCATCATTCCAATTTCTAATTTTCATGGTGATGAAAGACTTAGCATGAAAAGGCAAAAATATTACAAGAAAAAAAATCATCACCTAAATTTAAATATGCAATTCTATACATCCATATCCACCAAAATCCAACCACAACTACAAACTCAAGGCTCAGTTCACCAAGTCAAAGGTGAGGGGCATTGGGTGGATAGCATTTTTTAGACTGCAAGAAGGCATTTGATACTGTACTCCACAAGAGACTGGGCCAAAAATATGAGACTCGGTCAGGAATAATAGAATGTACTCCAGTGGATCTTAGGGTAAGGAAGCAGAATGACTGTCAGGAAAGAGATGTCAGAATGGGGAAGAGTAACTAGCAGGGTTCTGCAAGGATCAGTATGGGGACCAGTACTTTTTCTGGTTTATGTGCATTACATTCCAGATGGGACAGATTCAGATATATCCTTTCCTCTACCTCGGTGGGAAACGGCCAACGTGTTAAAAAAAATATCCTTGTTTGCTTATGTAAAACTAATGAGAAGAATAAAAACAGAGAACTAGGAAAGGCTCCAGAGGGATCTGGACAAATTGCAAGAGTTGTCAGGTAAGTGGTTGCATGAATTCAACCGAACAAATGCAAACTCATAAAGATTGGGGAAGGAGCAAGACTGGAAAAAGGGTACAGATTAAGGAGACAAGCTAGTACATGCCCTAATCCACCAGGAGTTCTGGTCATGGAGTGGGTTGTGGGGTGTAATGACCCTTGGAAAAGTAGGTTATAGATTAGGGGGACAGAGGCTGGTACATGCCTTGATCCACCACGAGGCCTGGTCATGGACTGGGCCGCAGTGGGCATTGACCCTTGGAACATTGTCCATGAGACTCCAGGTATGCTTAGATTTCAAAAGCACTTGGTCATAAACTTCTCAGATGCATTGTCTTGTAGAAATTTTTTTTACCCAATACCCATCTCCTGCCAAGTAGAGTGAAAAAAAAAATCACCAATATTCATTCAACCTCTAGCTTTCCAAAAGTGTGCTGACTTCACAATCAGATTACCCTTTGACTGTGACATCCCCACCCCTTCCAATTGCAGGCACTGCCCTTCCCACCTCTGAGAGTCAATTCCAGGTAACTGGTTTCTCCTAAATCCCTTCTTAAAAGTTACCTTGCTCACATACCAACAGCATGTCCATTAATCCACTTGACTTCATCCACCCCTATTTAACATGATTACACAAGCCTACTGTATGCTCAAACCACTAAAACTCAAAGTCACTTTTACCCCCTCCCTCAAACTGTTCCTGGGATAACCCCACCCCTCTTATCTTTCACCCCAGATATATACCCTCTACGTCAACCTATCCCTCTCCATCCTCCTGACAAGCCCAAATTATTGTTTTATATATAAAGCAGCCACACTGAATATCACTTACTTGTCATACATTCTGTCATACAACAAAGATTCTGAGATCTGTGAATAAGCTTCTGGAAGTGAATATTTTCTCTCACTGCCATCTCTTCCTCTATCACGTGGTGACATAGCTCCAAGCTCATCCGGAGTTGAACATGGAGTGGCAAATTCATCTGACAAAAGATTAAACCAATAAAATATTCTAACTTTATGGACCATTTCAGGTAGTCAGCCTACACTACAGATGGGTAGGTTTAAAAAACTAATTGTACTGTTCTAAAATTATACATATGTATTACATAGGAAATAATAAATAGTTAATGAAAAATGAAAATGAATGTTGGCATCAGGTGTGCAGCTCTGGGACAGAGGAGGCCAGCCTCAAGATCTATATGGTGCATTAACCATTATGCAACATATTACTGCAAAAATAAATTAAGAGAAAATCATTACAATAAGGAAGCTCTGCAGCTCTTTCTATTTAAGACAAAAAAAGACATTTACTCATAAACTGCAAGAGAAAAATGTTAACTGGCATATTTTTAATTACACTGCCAACAAAAAAAATTCTCTTTTATCATTCTACATTACATAATACTCACTAAATACTGGACAGAAACATGCATGTCATGCCTTTCCACAAAAATACACTGTAGGTCAATGGAGAATGTAAGTCAATGGAGAATTAAGTCATGGCCACTAGGTTTTCAGACTCCTAAAAAGTGAAAAATGAAAGCAACCCAGAAGCAACTACAAAGCACATTTACATAATTTATCAAATTTTGGTCGAATACATACATGCTTTCTTTTTCTTAAAATGCAAAACAGTATGCTGTTGCACAGTGCTGCAGATAGAATAGTGTGTGTCTGTATATATACAGTACACTCCTGCAAATCTTTTATAAGTGAAATGGAAGAAAAAAAAATTTTATATACATGCACATTGAACTATAGCGTATAATACTGTACTGTGTGTATTCTCCAAATATTGGTCTGAAAGATGCATGCCACTGCTTTATGGAAAAATACTTTGTGTTCTAAGTATCATGTGCCATACAGTGCACAAAGTGGTGGCAAGAAGACTTTTATAAATTAATTTCACATTGTACACAGGTACCACCAGAACACCATGATATACTGTATGCATCTCGGCATCCAAAAACATCTAACAAAGATTTATTTAACTAAATGTATTCTTCTCAGTAATGCTCATTTTAAAATCATTCCCTTTCTTTAAGTGCTTCTAACATTCTTTGGTAAAGAGCAAAAAAGCATAATACAGTGACTGGAACAATACACAAAACCCACAAATACAAAAAAGAAACTTATGATAACATTTCGGTCCAACTTGGAACATTAAGTAGTCACACTAACACAAGAAGGTAAGGAAGCCTGTATATATACTGGCTTCCATACCTTCCTGTGTTAGTGTGCAAGTTAATGGTCCAAGTTGGACCAAAACGTTGTCATAGTTTCTTACTTGCAGGTGCGTGTTATTTGAGTATTCTTTGTTAAATGTTTGAAAAACTCTTAAAATAACTTACCATCATCACTTGCCATATCCAGTTCATCTTTCAGTCTCGTGTGGGACAAGGGTCTGGCAGAGCAGAATATTAGTTTCCCAAAGTCCAGTACAACCAGGGTTGCATTTTTATCTCTGAAGTGTTCTGGGATGATGATTTGTGGTGCTGAAATGTCCAACTCTATATCCCAATGCTTTCTTGTCATCTGTTTAAGAGATATTTTAATGCAAAAACATTTTATAGAGCAAAAAATTTAATTTATGTAATGTGCACTTATGACAAGAGTCACTTTACCAAAATCACTTGATTATCTAACACAAAGGTGAGATTTTTTTTTTTTAACACCAGCCATCTCCCACCAAGGTAGGGTGGCCCCAAAAAAAGAAGAAACACTTTTACCACCACTCACTCCAACAATGTCTTGCCAGAGACACACCAATACAGATGCCCCTCCAAACTCCAAATATCCCCACCCCTATTTCAAAGTGCAGACACTGTACTTCCAATATCCAGAACTCAAGTCTGCCTAACTGGTTTCCTGAATCCTTTTAAATTTTACCTTGTTCACACTCGAACAGCATGACAAGCTATGACTCGACCCCTGCCACCACAATTAGGCGAGTACAAGTCATAAAAACCACTTGCTGCCCCCTCGCACACAGGACCTCCTTTACCCCCTCCCTCCAACCTTTCCTAGAGCAACCCTTATCATGCCTTCCCTCCACAACAGATTTATACACCCTCCAAGTCATCCTATTTTGCTCCACCCTCTCTAAATGTCCAAACCACCTCAACAGCCCCTGCTTGGCCCTCTGGATAATACTTTTACTCTGCAATTTTATTGTTATTCATTGTTTCCTGTAAAAAATTTCTGTAACCCAAACATTCAGTAATACATACAAATTCAATTTTCTTTTTTTTAACACGTCAGCCATCTCCCACCAAGCCAGGGTGGCCCGAAAAAGGAAGAAACACTATCACCATCATTCAACAATTTGACCATCATTCACACATAATCACTGTCTTTGCAGAGGCACTATGACAGTTTAGATGTCACTCCAACCAGCCATTATCAACATCAATATAAACACCAATTACAGTGGAACCCCAGTTTTTAAACTTAATCCAGAAAGTTGTTCAAAAACCGAAACGTGCAAAAACTGAATCAATATTTCCCATAAGAAATAATGTAAATACAATTAATCTGTTCCAGACCCCACAAAAATATTCCCCCCCAAATTTTTTTTTAAAGAATATGACACTAATATCAACTCTATGGCTTATTTATCTATCAAAATTTATCTAATATGACATAATAAACAATATAAATAACATAGAAACCTGAAATACTCTAGAATGAATAAAATATGTCATTATGTATGTGGCTAGTAGTGGCGGAGATGAAGAGTTTGTTTGGAAGCAAAACAAAATACACCTTCAACATGACACTACTATCAACTCTATGGCTTATTTATCTATCAAAATTGATCTAATATGACATAATAAATAATATTAATAACATAGAAACATAATATATACTCTAGAATGAATAAAATATCTTATAACGTATGTGGAGCGGTGGTGGTGGCGTTGTTGGATTTATAAGGGCCACTGACAGCATAAGCCGTACATATGTATAGTGTTGGTGGTGGCAGTGGTGTTGCCAGTCACCCTATATGCTTAAAACAACACTGAAGGAGTTTTGTGTTGTCCTTTTTCTATCGCTTAACTTACTTGTTACACTGTTAATGCTACACTTTATCTCTGGCTGACGCTATAGCCTTTATCAACTCCTGCTGCTTTAGTATCGTACATATCGTAGAATCACTGAAGAAGGCACATTCTCCCCTCACTCTCTCAGCCCTTTACCAAAGGGCTGGCTGGCACTAGTAACTTTCTTAGGGCCCATGGTGGCTTATTTTGCAATCACAATTAATAAACAAGCACCAAAAACAAAGGATTATTACAAAACGTTTTGGAATGCACGAATTAATGCTCATTCAACCAGTTACAGAGGCAGACTGAGATGCATAGTGGCAGTGTCCCCAGGCGGGTGGACGCGTATAATACATCCGATTACCAGATCAAGGTCCAATATCCGGAACCAAATTTCGCACATAAAATGATCCTAAAACCGAAATGTCCAATAACTGGAGCATGCGAAAAGTGGAGTTCCACTGTACTTAAAATTATTTTATTAACAAAATTTTAAAAATTCTCAGTTTGAAATATTTCATGAAACTCTCCCAAGCTCTGCTCTTTGTTTACTTACCAAGTCTCCTTCTATAATCTGGTCCCAGTTCCTTTTTAACTCTTGCTTTGTTTGCTCTTTTAGTTCTTCATACCTGAAATTAAATTGTTGTAAAGTGATTACTCACACTTATTAATAAGCAGTTTATGCAAGATATGGTAAAAATGACAGTTCTAATAAAAAGCTGAACTAGTACAAGAAATATGAAGGTTAAGATGTTAATGAAGTATACATGTATTTAATTTTTAAGAATAGTCAATTTTTTACAAAATATGCAAATTTCAATGTCACCTTTTCTTAGCAGCTGAAGTCAGAGCTGTCATCTGAGGCAAATATCCAACATCATCTTTCTTCTGATAAGGGGTTGTAAAGAAGGCTTTAATGGCTTCTAGTGCTGAAGGATTATATACGACATCTAAAGCTGATGAGCTGACAATTAGCCTGTAGAGAGATTATAAAAATTGAGTAAAATGAATGATGGCTAACTATGTCAAGTTAAAGATGATAAATTAACTAAAAGTTGACAGTTGTATCCAATAAAAGATGACAAATTATAGCAAATAAAAGATAACAATACTCAATCCAATGAAGAATACTGTAGTTTGATTTGATTTCAAATGAAAGATGACAGGCCACATCAATTAAAAGATGGCAGACTATATCAAATGAATGATAACAGGTTATGAAAATATCTACATTACATCATTTACTATTCATTTCTACAATACTGTATAAATATTTTCAACAATTTCTCATACCACCACAAATATATTTTCCAGGTAGAGTAGTTAAGTTTTTTAATATTTCATAAAAATTAATAAATTTATTAACAAAGTTACACTAAAAAAATTTAACTTTACAAAATAACTAAAAAAAATTAAATAAAAATGAGTAACGCTTTAGGCTCGAACCCATGAACTCTGACAAGGAAGATGCAAGTGTATGCACCTGACTATGTTGCCTGGCAGGGAATGTGTGAAGGATCTACAAATGTGAAATCATGTCACATAGACTAATGATCAACTTTCTAAGCAGACAGCCTGACAATGGCAACCAAGAAACACCATCTAGTTAATTCAAGTTTCTGTAGCCCATCATATGACTTTGCTAATGTGTTCCTCTACTTCACTTTTCCATGATATTCACTGCTTTTTAGCAACTGCAACTTAGGCCTAGATTAGCTTTTTGCTTTTAACTTTGCTACCAAAGTAGCTAGTTTGTTGTGCACCCATATCCATCCTGTGGATGGTAGTGCAAGAGTATATGGACACACAAAAGGACCCAGGAACTTTGCACCTAAAGAGTTAACAGCAGTACATGAGAGTACATACAATACTTAACATTTATATTTCATATTACAAGCATCCAGTGGGCTTGTGGGAAAGCATTAGGTAAGAGTGAGTGGAGCCAAGTGGATGCACTCACTTTCATCAAATGGCTTGATGTGCTGTGTAAGGAAACATTCATGAAAGGATTTAGCAAGCTTTATCATGACAGCATCTGGCTCATTTCTCATCATTTTAATACAAAGTAGAATTAGAATGATTAGGGTTAAAATCTTTAGGGTTAATAGCACTAAAAACTAAAACTAAGGATACAGTACTCACTTATGATCAGCTTTGGAGTTAAATGGCCGACACTCATAAACGAGAGAAAAAAGGGGACCTTCTGCTTTGGTTTGCACTGGAGACATGATGTTTGTTAGCTTGGCATACATGGAAGTTTTTGACATGGTGGCTGAGAGTGTTGATCCCAAAACTCTATTTTGAGGAGTTACCAACAAAGGAAATACAGACTCTTGGGTAACCTACAAACAGAAACAATCCTTATTTTAGTTTTCTTTTACTGATTTACTAATTTGCCAAGTTCTCATACATTATTATATATTTCAGATCTAGTTTTAACTAACTGTATAACTGTAAATAATAATAATCTGGATATATGAAAAGAATTATTTTAGTTTCAATTCAATTTTAAGTAAAGACAGACTTTGCTTATTATTTCTGGATAACATCATCTTCAAGATGGTGTCCCGTTCACGTTTTTTACCATTCTTACCTACAACATACCTATGACCAGTTTTGAGGGTTCTACCCTCACAGCCTGAGGCTAAACTTTCCTGTTATACCTTCATTTTGCAATGCTTCTGATATCTGCTGATAGTAAGTTTAAGAGATTTGGACAAAAGATATTGACAGTGTTCTGCAACTGAGCTTATGGAACACCAGCTTTTCACTGGGATTATTCTGCACTTCTATGATATCTCTCACTTCAGGAAGTTATTTGATTAGTGTGTAGATTGGGTACCAGGCCCTAAAGTATCTTCCATGTAAATTTTATCAGGCATTTCTCTTGTCTCTGTTCCAAATGCCTAGAGGTGCTTTCCATTAGTTTAAAGGTTTTATTATCTATGTCAACAGTAAATAATACCTCTATGTATTCCAGCTCCGCTATCTCTGCTGACTTATTAGGCACTTTGAGTACAGAACAATATTCAAGACACAAGAGCACAATTGATTTAAAAAGTACCATCAAAGGCATTGCTTCTCTTGATTTGAAGGTTCTCATAATCTACCCTGCCATTTTCTTCCCCTTTGCTGGATTATGTTGAAAAAATGTTTTCTGATATCCTTGTAGCTCATTTGGGCATGTAATTCAACAATACCCTATGTACTGGTACTTCCTATATCCTTGTCTATGCAATGGAGAGTTTTCCATGGCATGATCACTGTAATGTAAATCTGTGTATTATTTGCTGTTTGTCTGTTCATTTAGTGTTAATTATAATGTATACTGTTAGGATTGCTATTATAACAAGGAATACCCACCACTATCTACAGATGATATAATGTCTATGACCTCTGCTGCAATATTCCATATTTTTCTCTTTGTTTACCATTTTTATAATATTGTAAAATAAGTTTAATTATTCTAAGTGGTAGGTTGGTAGACAGCAACCACCCAGGGAAGTACTACCATCCTGCTGAGTGTAAACAAAAGTCTGTAACTGTTTTACATGATGGTAGGATTGCTGGTGTCTTTTTTGTCTCATAAACATGCAATATTTCAGGGACATCTTGCTACTTCTACTTACATTTAGGTCACACTACACATGCATGTACAAGCATATATATATACACCCTTCTGGGTTTTCTTCTATTTTTCTTACTAGTTCTTGTTTATTTCCACTTATCTCCATGGGAAAGTGGAGCAGAATTCTTCCTCCATAAGCTATGCGTGTCATAAGAGGCGACTAAAATGCCAGGAGCAAGGGGCTAGTAACCCCTTCTCCTGTATTTATTACTAAATGTAAAGGAGAAACTTTCACTTTTCCTTTTGGGCCACCCTGCCTCGATGGGATACTGCTAGTGCGTTGAAAGAAGAAAGAAATTTGATTATTTTATAATACTGAATGGAGACGCGTGTCACTACCCTGCATTACTTGCACAACAAGTGGTAGGTATGACTGACATTTTGATAACTGTCAGGTGTAGCCTTTCATCAATCCCCCTTTTCTTTCATTCTTGCTCAAAAATCTCCTTGGATATAGGAATTTCTGAGGTGCAGGCAGCTGAGACGTGGTGAAGCACCAGTGTGTTGGTGCAGCAGAGACGGTGATTTACCGCTACCCAGGGAAGGACACGAGCAGTCGTTTGGTCCATTAAAACGATCTCACATGCAAACACCATTTTACACACTGCTATTTTGGGGACTTAAAATATCTTAATGTTTGCAGCTTATGTCCATTGTTTGAAATGTGTTGTTTAAACTACATTGCTGAACATAGTCTCCAAGAGGGAAGAGTGTCACTCTGAATTTAGTTCAGGGTATTCATAAAACACTGCCATAATTTCACAAACACATATCTTACAGATAACAGAATGGTTTAGGCTCAAACCTATAGCAAGAGAGCTGTTATGATTTTGAGACTTATTACATTATGCCATTGTAGACTCAATTTCTGCAGACATCAGATGTATGTTGTATGTGAACTGCTGTGCACTGATTTTTGGACATAGCCACTGTGGAGCAGTGTGGGATTTAGTGTTTTGATGAATTCATCTTGCGCTGCCAGACCCACGCACTTAAGTGGAGTACAATATGTATTGGGTTTGGTTTGTTTGGGCACTGTTAGCCTTACTTATGTTCAGTGCATTGAACTATGTCTGCACTGTCTAGTATGGACTTAAAAATCTCAGTAAGAAGTTTGCTTCTGCATACTCAGTAGTGAGTGGACTTATTATTTGCCTTGCTGGTTGCTACGCATTGCACTGTCAACAGTCTTTGACTACATGGTATCTGCACGTGTGCACACACACACATGCACACATAGACAGTGTGAACTTGGAGTCATATGCTAGCAAGTTGAAACACCTTCATACTTTTGAGAGCAAGATTTTGCTGATGCATCTTTCATAATTATAATTATAATAAAAAAAGAAGCTCTAAGCCACAAGGGCTATACAGCGCTGCAGGGTAGGAAAGGAAGCGAGGGTATTGGGCGGCAGAAGGGGGGAGGGGCGATCTGTAGGTTACAAAAAACAGCGGGGCAGGGGATAGTGCAGGGGAGAGGGTAGCAAGAGATTGAGGTAGAAAGAAGGTATCATCAGAGTTTGTGAAGTAAGTCAGTTGTTGTCAAAAAGTCAATGAGAGTGTCCGGATGAAAGGTGGGTCCATCAGCGAGAAGGGAAGGTAAAGAGAGAGCAGCGAAGCGAAGACGACGTTGGAGGTAAATTCTGCGTGCTCGTTAATAAAGTGGGCAGTCTAACAGAATGTGGCTGACCGATAATGGAACCTGACAATTCTCACAGAGAGGAGCAGGGCGCCTCTCCATGAGATATTCATGATTAAGACGAGTATGGCCAATGCGGAGACGGGAGAGAGTAGTCTCCCAACCTCGGCACTGATGACAAGAAGACGGCCAGTAACCTATACTCAGTTTAATAGATTGAAGTTTGTTACCGAGTAGAGTAGATCAACGTTGTTGCCAACGGGTGTGAAGGTGGGTAGCTATTGCAGCAAAATAGTCCGTAAATGGAACACCTCTATATGAAACTGGTAGGTCATGTACTGCTGACCGCGCAGCAGTGTCTGCCTGTTCATTGCCCTGTACGTCAACATGACCAGGGACCCAACAAAAAACAATATCTTTATGCTTGGTAGAATGCAGCGTAGCCAAAGTTGGATACGGAGGACTAAGGGGTAAGGTGTATCAAATTTCTGTATAGCCTATAAAGCACTAAGGGAGTCTGAGACAACCACAAATGATGACACAGGCATAGATGTAATATGGATAAGTGCTGCAAGAATGGCATACAATTCAGCAGTAAAGATACTAGCCGAAGATAGTAAATGCCCTCGTACGACGCTGTCTGGAAACACTGCTGTGAATCCTACGCCATCAGAAGACTTAGAGCCATCTGTGTACACTCCAATGGCATGAGAACGAGAGTGGAAGTAGTCAAGAAAAAGAGAGCGGGAAGCTACTGTAGACAGTTGGGCTTTCAAGCAAGGGAGTGAGAAAGAACAGACTCGAACAGCTGGAACTTCCCAGGGGGGTAGGGAAAAGTGAGATGCTACATGAACATAGAAAGGTGGAAATTGAAGAGAAGACAAGAGCGAATGTAGGGGAAGAGGGAAGGGACGGAGCAAACAGGGGCGGCAAATAAATAAAGAATGTCTACTAATATCGGTGACCATTCTATAAATGGAAGGATTGTGGAGATCATGAGAGCGTACATAGTAGTGAAGGTAATGGGCATCACGGCGATCGGATAAGGATGGAACGTTCACTTCTGCATAGAGGCTCTCAACAGGAGAAGAGCGAAAAGCACCAAGGCATAAATGTAATCCTTGGTGATGAATAGGGTTGAGGCTAGATAGAGTAGCAGGAGAGGCAGCTGAATAGATCTGGTCACCATAGTCAAATTTCAATAAAATGAGGGTGGAATGTAGGCGAAGGAGAGTTCGACGATTAGCTCCCCATGAAAGATGAGCAAGGGTTTTAAGAAGGTTCAGCCGGCTGTGACAAGTTGTCTTCAGAGAGGTAATGTGAGGTTTCCAGGATAGCCTACGGTCAAAGAGGAGGCCTAGAAACCTGACTGTATCACATTCAGGGATACGGGTGCCATAGAGGTATAAAGGATGATCGGAGATGACAGAGTGTCTAGTGAAAGTAATTTGGAGAGTTTTGGTACTGGAAAATTTAAACCCATGTGTGGTGGCCCAATTGGAAACACGGTCGACCACATGCTGGAGAGAAACTGTAATGAGGTGACAGTCAGCGCCTGCACAAGCAATAGTGAAGTCATCAACATAGAGTGATGACCAAATATTGGATGGAAGACTAGATGCCAAATCATTTATAGCAAGGAGAAAAAGTGTTGTGCTCAGAACACATCCCTGGGGGACACCTTCAGCTTGGATACAGTCCGGGGAGAGCACATTATTAACCCGAACACGGAAATGTCTGTCAGTTAAAAAGTTCTTAAGGAAGGATGGTAGATTGCCTCGAAGGCCTAAGGAGTGGGCTTGGGCCAAAATATTATACCTCCAAGTTGTGTCATATGCCTTCTCAAGGTCAAAAAATATGGCAATAACTGAGTGGTTATTCACAAAGGCATTACAAACATACGTACCCAAGCGTAGTAAGGGGTCTATGGTAGAACGGCCCTTACGAAAGCCATATTGACGAGTGGAGAGACTGTTGTGTGTCTCTAAATACCACACTAAACGACTATTTACCAGGCGTTCCATCACTTTGCAAACTGCACTGGTAAGAGCAATGGGACGATAGTGGGAGGCTTTACGTCCCGTAGTACCCGGTTTGTGGAAAGGGAGAACAATGGCAGATTTCCACAGCTGTGGAAGAACTCCTTGTGACCAAATAAGATTGAAAAGGCATAATAGGACTGCAAGGGCTCACTGATGTAAATGTTGTAGCATACGAATATGAATGTCGTCGCGCCCAGCTGCCGATGATCGGCAAGCTGAGTGTGTTGCCTCCAGTTCCTGAAGTGTAAAAGGCACATTATACTGTTCTTCTCCGAGAGAAGAAAAGTCCAAGGGTACTAACTCTCTGGCAGACTTTGAGGAAAGAAACGAGGGGCATAGATGGAGCCCCTGAGAAATACGGACCAGATGATTGCCAATTTCATTGGCAACATCTAGTGGGTTTGCTATATCAACACCGGCAACCCACAGAACAGGAGCCAGGTCAGGAGAATATTTACCACTCAGTTTTCGTACTTTTTTCCAGACTGCACTCATAGAGGAAGCAGAGGTGATGGTGGAGACATAATTTCGCCAGCAAGTGTGTTTAGCGTCATGAATGACATGGCGAGCGATCACACACTTCTGCTTAAAATCAAGAAGTCTCTCCGTGGTTCTATTGTACTGGTACCTGCCCCACGCAGCGCGTTTCAATCGTACTGCACGAGCACAAGCAGGAGACCACCAAGGCACACATTTCTGAGAATGCCTGCCCGAAATTTGGGGTATAGAATGAGAAGCTGCGGTTAAAACGGAGGACGAGAAGAGGTGTAAAAGCTCATCAATGGAGGACGAAGAAGGAACCTCACTAAAAACAGTTAGTTGTGAGTAAAGGTTCCAATTTGCCTGATCAAATTGCCAGCGTGGGTTACGAAGAGGTGGTGAATATGAAGTGGAAGTAAGAATGATTGGGAAATGATCGCTGTCATGTAAATCCGGGAGAACAGACCAGGTGAAGTCTAATGCGGCGGAGGAAGAGCAGACTGAGAGATCGATGCAAGAGAGAGTATGAGTCCAAGGATCAAAATGGGTGTGAGTACCTGTATTTAAAACATGGAGGGGGTGGGTAGCAAGAAAAGCCTCTAACTGAATGCCACGGGAATCACAGTGAGACCCCCCTAGAGGAAATGATGGGCATTAAAATCGCCAAGTAACAGAAGTGGTGGCGGTAATGACGAAACAAGAAAGGCAATATCCGGGATAGATAATGCCCGAGAAGGAGAGAGATACAAAGAACAGTGTATACCACCTATGCAAGTGGATACGGGCTGCTGTGTAATGCAGCGAAGTATGAACAAATAGCTGATGGTACGGAATATCAGTGCGTAGAAGAAGGGCACTTTCATTAAAGGTCCCATCAGGAAAAGGATCTGAAGAATACAATAAATTATAGCCTGAGATGGGATAGATAACGGCAGAGTGTAATTTTGGTTCCTGTAAGCAAATGCCAACAGGGTAAAACTGGGAGAGCAACATCTGAAGCTCACCCCGATTACCTCTGAGGCTGCGAATATTCCACTGTAAATAGGCCATGATTGGCAACGATAAAAATACCTGAAATCCGCAGGTAAGGGTACCTACGGACTAGAAGGGTTAGAAAAGTCCACATGCAGTGGCAAAGGAAAACGTTCAAGTAGCGAAGGAACAGTGCGTTGTGAAGAAAGGAGTTGCGCAGATGGAGAAGAGGAAAGAGAAGGAACAGAGGGTGGATCAGTGTCCTTTGATGGTTTGGTCTCTGCAATATATTCAGGGATTGCTTCAAGTGTTTCGGAGTTCAGAGACGTCGTATGGGAGACAATATTGGAGATGGAAGGAGGAGGAGTTTGAGTAAAGATCGGAGCTGTAATGGACTGTACCAAGGTAGGGGGGGGGGCGAAAGGGTGGAGGGAACTGGAGAAGTGTGGGTGGGGACAGAAGAGGCAGAAACCCGGGAGGTGGCAGAAAAGGAAGAAACTTGGGAGGGGACAGGGAAGGAAGGCACAGTACGAGGAGGAGGATGAACCTCCACACTTGTAACGGAGCCAGTGAAAGGGGAAGACCTAAGTACAGAGACCGGGAAGGTAAAATGTGGAGGTGGATGAAGGGAAGGAGGGGTTAAAGGAGATTTGTTGGACCTCTGAGAAGTAGAGGGACGATTGGGAGGAGGTGTCATACGAGGTCTTGTCGATACCGGGGTTTGTGAGGAAGAACACGAAGAAGTGAGGACAGACTGAGGTGTTGAAGTAGGGACGTCTGAGCCCAGGACAGCAAAAGAATTAGATACAGGAGTGACTATGGGACTGGCAACTGCAGAGGAGGCTGCAGAAGATGGGACCCCAGAAGTGGGGGGACGTTTTGAAACACGAGAATAAGAAACACAGGGTAGTCTCCCTTGGAGGCGGAGATGAGAAACTGCCATAGCATAAGGGAGACCTTCTGCCTCTTTGAGGCAATGAATTTCCCGCTCATTTAAGGAGACCTGGCAACGGCGAGAGTACAAAGGGTGAGCCTCATGACAATTAAGGCAAGAGGGAGGTCGACTGCAAGATGTATTAGAATGGTCATCGGTACCACAGACTGGGCATTCAGCTATAGATCTGCAATATTTTACTGGGTGGCCAAATCGCCAGCAATTCCTACACTGTTGCGGTGTAGGGATCACCTTCCGAACTTGTAACCAATGTCCTGCTACATAAACAGAGGATGGGAGTTCACAGCTGTCAAAAGTTAAACGAGCCCGTGGGCGGGAAGAATATAAGTGTCTACCTTGAGAATTGGGAGATCTTGGAGTTCCAGCTGTTCGAGAATGTCATTGCCACATGTCTGGAAATTCTGTTGGACTATGGTATAGGGCAGAATAACAGTACCACTACAAGAATTGAGGGAATGATGTTTTTCGATAGTGATAGGAATAGTATCGATATGTGAAAGAAGAAAAAGATCATGAGCTTGGGTAGAATTCTGGACTGTGATGATGCGCGTACCATTCTTAAGAGCATGAAAAGAAATATCTCTACCAACGTGGCGTAGGAGAGCTTTGCCAATACTATGGTCAGAAAGATAGGCAGTAGAAGTCGGTTGTAAAGTAAAGAATTTAGTCGATTGTGTGGTCCAAAACTGAGTGTGGAGAGGGAGTGCATGACGTGTCGGTCTTTTCCGAGTAGAATGGGAAGGTAACGAAGTAACATCGTCAGGAGATTGTCGTTGGCGTTTAGAAGTGGGACCAGAGTCAGTCTGACGTGAGACGGGCTGGCGATTCAAAAATCGTCGCACCATAGAGGGAGAGGCCGGAAGCATAGTCAAAGGAGAGCGGAGGTCAGACAAATCGAAGGAGTCAGTGGAAGCCCCTGTACCTGAAGCGGGTGAGGAAACAGCACCAGCAAGAGGTACAGGGGCCTTAGGAGTGTCCAAAGAGTGGCCAAAAGACGAGGTGAGGTCAGAAAAGGGTGCAGTAACAATAAGGGGCCCGGGGGTAGCGGGGTCATGGATTTGGGACTCCATGGTCAGGTTACTTCTTTCTTTTTGTTTTTAAGAAAAAAAAGAAAGAAGAAAAGAAAATAAAAATAAAAAAAAGAGTAAAAAAAGGGGGGACCGGGGAGGGATAGTTCCTAGGAGGAATGAAAGGGCCAGAAATCTCCCTCCGCGCCCAAGAGGACCTCAGCACCGCAAGTAGCGCAGATGCAGCATGGAACCCGTGCCATACCCTACCCTTCATGCCAGTAAACCAGCAATCTGGAATAGCAACCTCACATCTGCCGAGCTACCTCAGTGGACAAAAGAGAGGGCAGCCAGATATCCGCCACAAAGCATACCTCCTTCGGCCACCACCCCCGGAATCCGAAAGGTGGCTTCCAGAGATACACCCGTCGCCCAAAAGACACCCAAAGCCACCCTCCGGGATACTGGAGAGGGATCGAGACATCCCCAGGCGATCCAGACCCCACGGCAAACTACGCCACCGCCAAGAACCTCAACGGAATGGGATGGACCCCGGTACCCTTCCCCTTACCTATGAACTAGTGTGCCTGTGGGAAAAATCCCAAAGGCCAAAAAGAGGAAGAGCAAATGGGAGGGGTGGGGAGGAGGAGGAGGAAAGGAAAAAGGGGAGGATGGGGAGGATGGGATAGGAAAGGGGGGATTGGGGGATAATTAGGTTCGATCTGAGGAAGGAGACTGACAGGTCTAATTCCTCAGACCAAGAGCCTCTTCAACACGCCAAGGAGCCCCCCTTGAAGAGGTGCATCTTTCATATTAGTCCAGTGTTGGAAGTAGAATAATTATAAAATGTGGGCCGATTAACTTACTTTGGAGGACAGACTTATAATTAGCTGTTTCAATTATTTTCTACCCTATGACTATTATTTGTCATGCAGACTACAAATAACCAGCACTTATACAAAATGTACTTATTCAGTTAAAAAGTTTTACTTACCTTATCTCTTAAATTCAAGGAGCCTAGTTCAAGATCAAATTTGTAGGACTTGCTTCTTGGTCGTGACTCTAATGCCATCTTGACATTAGCAAATTCTAATTCAAACAATACAGTCCTGCAATAAAAATCTTGTCAAATATCTTGTAAACAATTACTAGCATTTGTAATCCTGTGATGACAATAAGAAAAACAAGATGCAGACCTAAGCTGAAAATAAGAGACAAAATAAAGACTCCTGTAAACTGACAACTCTCTGAACCAGTGGTACATCATTGAGAGGGAGGAAAAAAAAAATGAAAATTATGAAAGTGTTTGTTAAGATAATATGGTTAGTTAACATGGTTAGGTTAGTCACCATGGTTGGGTAGGTTAATCACCATGGTTGGGAAGGCTAGTCTACATGGTTAGACAAGTTAGACAATATGAGTAAATTAGGTTAGGTTAAGACAAAAATAAAAATAATAAGAATTAGGTATGGAATATTATCATTCTGGTCCCAATCTGTATTTATAACATGGGCTTTTATAGAAATTCACTAAACATATTTATTTAACAACCTTTTCTCTGGTCCTTATTTAAGTTGATAAATGGAGATCCACTGTATAACATATTAACATTAAACAATCAAACTTCTCAAATTACAGTTACTGTAATTGGTAAAATGATACAAAGAAATTGTAACAATAATAATTATTATAGTACAAAACCTGAATACTTTAACTCACATTTTTTCTTTTTCCTCTGTGTTGCTCCCAGGAACTGGTGATGTGTTGGATGAAAGAGTAAAAGTGCTTTGTTTGAGTGTAAAGCTTAGCTGACAAAATACTGCATCTCTTTTCATAAAAGTATTGTTTTCAACAGTGTCAGAAAGAACATATAAAATTTCCTCTTCAAAGGACCCCGAAGGTTGTTTTTCTAATTCCTCATTGTCATGGGATTTGTTGGCAGGTTGTAACACGTGTCCTGTTGGGATACTAGATGCTTGAAGATTATCTTGCGGTGATGTAGGAGTTGAACTTTCACCACAGGTATACCAGCCTCCCCATGCTGGAAACCAACGCTGAAGAATACCTTCTCCATTTTGTATGGGAGATGTTTGTTCCTCAGGAATAATTAAAGTAGGAGATTTTGTTTCCTGCAATAATTCAAGTTCACGTGCAACTCTTTCCATGGCAATCTCTCTTAAAGAGCGCAGTTCATTAAAATTTAATTCCTGTTCAACTTGAAGTTTATGTGCTTTGCAGTCAGTTGATACTGTAGCAGGATTTCTAAGATGCTCACTATAAACTTTCACGTACCTGACAATATTTCTCGCTCTCTCTTGTGCAGTAGACCAATTTCGACCAGAATATTTTTTATGAATTTTATCTAAATGGCACTGAATAGGATACTGCCACCATTCATAAGGATTATCCTTCACTGAGCAACGTGGTCTCCATTTTCGATAGTGACGAGCTTTTTCTAAGCGATCATATTCTTTATTCCACTTCACTACTTGCCGATACTGAGATTCACTCAAACTGAGAGGGAACTTTTCCAATTTAAGGTCACATGTTATTCGGGGAGATGAACGAGATCGAAGAGGTGCTTCACTCAAATTGCGTTTCACACAGGCTGTGGCACTAACTGGTTGCAGTAAATATTCATGATCACATTTTCCAATGGCAGAAAACATCAGACTCTGTCAAGGAAAGCAACTCATACAGTGTCTGTATACAGTAAGTAAACAATTGGCACAAATGACAGATCCAACAAGCAATTTTCAAATAAATTAAATCTGTAGCTATAATTTGCACAAGTTCCATTACAGTTGATAATTTTTCTAGCTAATAAAACACCATTTATTTGATAATGAAGAAAAATTTACCTTTTTTTTAACACTCCGATCTCCCACTAAGGTAGGGGTGACCCAACAAAGAAGAAAACACTTTCACTGTCACTCATTCAATCACTGTTTTACCAGAAGGGCACCAATGTAACAATTCAGATGACCCTCCAAATAGTAATGTCACCAACCCTCCTCCAGGACTAAGTCTGGTTTACCTTTATAAAATGTTACCATGCTCATACTCCAACAGCTCGCCAGATCCCAAAAAACATTCGCCTCCACTCACTCCTAATGCACACACACACACATGCCTGCAGGATGTCCAAGCAGCTTGCACACAAAACCTCCTTTACCCTACAAGCCATTTTTCACCACTGTCAATCTTCTAAAGAATCTCTTTTAATCCACTTTATTACTCTGCCTCATCTATGTACCATGCCACCTTAAAACTACTTTTCATGCGCCCCCCCCCCATATGCTATTACCACATGTATTTCTAAAGAATTTTTAATCAGCAGTCTGAATACTGAATCAATTTCCTAAACTGTGTAGTATTAAAACCAATAGGTCAGGGTTGTTTAAATGAAGTAGTGTTCATCCAAATTTATAAAAATATATGCTGAAAAGTGTACATACTGCTAATTCCCCAATAGACTTATTACTGTAGACATCAGCAGAGGTGTCCCAGTATAATCCCATGTTTGTCAATTCGAGCAACTTGTAGGCCATCTTGGAATTTCCACCATACACAAACCTGAAGACATACAAAATATAAAGCTTATTTATTACACTGACAATAGGTATGCATATCTAAGCAAAATGCACGAAACTTTGTAAGTCTTTAACCCATTCACTGTTCAAAGTCCCAAATTAAATGCTCACAGTGTCCACAGTTAAAAAATTCTTCTAAAATGGTAGAGAATCTTTTTCTAGAGGTAATGACTCTAAAAGTACAAAATTTGATAAAAAACTTACAGAATAACACAAATGCAAAGTTTGCAGACTGGGCACAATTCATGCACTGGCAATTTCACCCACTTTGAGTTTTCTTTTAAGCCAATTCTGTTGCTCAATTTGACCAAATTCTTAGCTATTTCACTAGTTTGCCTTCTGTTTTATCAAATGAGGACAAGGAACTGCCCATTCAACTATTAAAACTACACAAAGTGCCAATTATACATAAAATTAAAAAAATTCTAATTAAGAAATAAGAGTCCAAAATAAACACTGTAGACATTCCAGGCACTAAAACAACAGTTCCTGTTCATTAATCATGTCTGCAGGCCTCTTCTATATAACACTTGCCTTCCATTTTGAATTCATCATCACACAAAAAAAATCAAAAGATTTACCCTATTTCTTGGATAATACTATATTACCAGGAATCACTGTCATGCTTTACAGCATCCCAATAACTGAATCAGAACTAGTAAAAATCCATAAAACAGACCACGGGAAAAAATCGACAAAAATCAAATATTTCTGCTATTCTGAGGCTGATTTCAAGCTACTTTAGTCCTTGAACCAACCAAAATCATCTCTATTCCATAAGTATACAGGGTGTCCACAAAAACACTCCCTGATTTCAAACAGGTATAACATATAACTTTATTGTAATAATCTTTCACAGTTAGTAGCTTCAGATGCAGGATTTCATTCAGTTTCATGTGGTATAGAGTAGCATTAAAGGCACTCAATGTGCGCCCCTCTGGTTGTTCAGCAAACATCGATGCAATAATCCAGTTCGGTCTAGACGCTCTGCAGCATATTTGGTGTTATCATGCAAACTGCTTCAGTGATCGAAATTTTAGCTCCTCCAGGGTTGCAGGTAGTGGTGGTACATAAACTGTGCTCTTCATGTACCCCCAAAGAAAGAAGTCACAAACAGTTAAGTCCGGTGACCCCTGCAAGAGGCCTGCGAGGTTACCGGACCTCTTTGTGACTTCTTTCTTTGGAGGTACTTGAAGAGCACAGTTTACATACCACCACTACCTGCAACCCTGGAGGAGCTGAAAATTTGATCACTGAAGCAGTTCACGTGAAAACACCAGATATGCTGCAGAGCGTCTAGATCGAACTGAATCATCGCACTGATGTTTGCCGAGCAACCAGAGGGGCGGACATTGAGTGCCTCTAATGCTACCCTATTACCACATGAAACTGAATGAAATCCTGCATCTGAAGCTACTAACTGTGAAAGATTATTACAATAAAGTTACATGTTATACCTGTTTGATATCTGGGAGTGTTTTTGTGGACACGCAGTATAATTCATTCTATCAAATGACACAGAGACAGCCAACAAAACCATCCTAGAAAACACCTCAAATTCATTATTTTTAACCAAACACAAGGCCAGAGCTTTGCTTTTCCCACCATGCATCATGGGGGTCAGGATTTTTTATTCTGTGTACACTCACCACACTGACCCATTCTCTCATAACTAGGCCAAAATTTACCACTCTCAACTTATCTGAGTGAGCTGAGATAGATGGGATTAAATGCTGAAATCTGGTGGGAATGGAATACTGAAATAGTGGAAGTGTTTGTAACATTCCTGTTACACTAATCACACACAATGATGCCTGTACAAAACTAAATCATTATGATTGTACAACACAATCTTAGTAAATCTTTACTTCAGATCATTCCATTGTACTAACATCATAATTTAAACTCATGAACACTGTAGGTATTCATACATACTACGTATTTACCTTATTACAATATTTCTTTAAGCCTCATTCTGATGAATTCCATTATGCTTACTACACTCTAATGGAAAATGTTTTCTTTACTTAATTTTACCTAGGGATCCAGTGGTCATCAGAACTCTGAAGAGCAAGCGAGTCAATTGTGAGGCCACAAGCAAAGACTTGTCCAGGAATACTTTGGTCATCTTCATACCTCAGATGAACATCACGTATTTTCAGCTGTAAAACACTTAAGAGTTATAATACATTTTCACATACTGTACTATACTAGCATATGCAGTATATCTGGAATGAAATTTACATCAAGTGTGAAGATTCAAAGGAAACATTTTAAGCACTACAGTAAAAGTTTTTTAAATCTGTATTAAGAAAACATTGTAAAGACAATATTTCACGAGCAGACATCTAAGAACACATGGAAAAATAGTCATGTACTGTATGATAGTACCTTAAAAACCATTCCATTTTTTCTTCAAAATAAGGGAAACATACATGGAAAACATACTCATAACTAACAAACGATAAAGTAAAATTTTCTTTTTAACATGTCGGCAGGGTGATCCAAAAAAAGAAACCCTTTCACCATCATTCACACACAATCAGTCTTTGCAGAGGTGCCCAGATACAACAGTTTAGATGTCACTCCAAACAGCGAATATCCCAAACCCCTCTTTTAAAGTGCAGGCATTGTATTTCCCATTTCCAGAACTCAAGTCTGGCTGTATGATATTTTGACAGTACAGTGGAACCTCAGTTGTCGAACTTAATTTGTTCCAGATATCAGTTCGACAACCAAAATGGTCAACAACCAAACCAATTTTTCCCATAAAGAATAATGTAAATAGAATTAATCCATTCCAGACCAAATATGACAATAGTATAGTAATTCATTAATAATAATGAACTAACTACTACATAAAACAATGTATAAAATTATACAGCACACGGAAACTGTAAAAATGAATACTAAATGAAAACTTAACTGAAATACTGTACAGTAAATGAAAATTTAACTGTTTCTTACCTGTCAAGAGAGCTAATGGCATAATTCAAGCAGCTTCAAATCTTACGGGAGAAAGCTGGTAGGCCTACATGTGAGAGAATGGGGCTGCATGGTCAATGTGTGCAGTATAAAAAAAATCCTACAGCATGCAGTGCATAATGAGAAAAAAATAGCGACAGTGTTTTTGGTTTAAAACAATGAATTTGCGGTGTATTTTCGTATGGTCTTAATGGGCGTAATCTCGTTTTCTTGGTCTCATTTGATGGAATGAAAGATATATTACAGAAATAAAGATGATTTTCAACAGTTTTAAACTAAAAGTAGCTTGAAATTGAGCTCTTAATAGTGAAAATGTTCAATTTTTGCCGATGGTCAAGAGTAAACAAATCAAGTCACACATCCAATAAATGTCAATTGGCGAGTGTAATATGCATTCACAAATGCATTGATATTATTTATACAATTATTACAATTATGCAGTAGTATGAATAACAGTAAATCTATTTTTTGTGTGAATAAAAATTCAAAACGAAAAGCAAGTGTAATATAAGGGGCCTGGAGATATGACAAATGACAGATAAATTGGCATTTTTGTACCAGGAATGTCTGCATTACTTATGCTGGACCCTATTCTGAAAGTGGCCTTTCTTGAATTTTGTGTGAAATTGGCCAAATTAATAATTTTGGATCATTTTATTGGGTATATTGTGTATTTTTATACGTATATACTTCTAAACTGTTGTATTCTGGGCACCTCTGCAAAAACAGTGATTGTGTGTGAGTGAGATGAAAGTGTTGAATGATAAAAGTATTTTCTTTTTGGGGATTTTCTTTCTTTTTGGGTCACCCTGCCTCGGTGGGAGACGGCCGACTTGTTGAAAAAAAAAAAAAAATTATTGGGTAGTTGAAATAGGGTAAATGGACAGTTTCTTGTACTCAATTGATAGAATAAAAGGAGTTCTAGCAAAATAGCTATGAGTTTGATCAACTGGAACAATGGAATTGGCCCAAAATAGAGTTCAAAGTGGGCAAAATCGCTGATGTGTAAATATTGCCGAGACCACTAACTTCACAATAGCCGAATTCCGTAAGTTTTCCATCAAACTTCACATTTTTGGTTTCATTAAGTTTACAAGATGCACAAATAGAGCTCAAGAGATGTTTACAGCACACGTGTTAGTCGCTATACTGACTGAGACCCATGCTGTGGACTCGTCTGGTGATCACGTGATCCGAGCAGTGTCGGTCGACATCCAAGACCATGTACGAAAACCAGGACCACATTCCTTGTTTGAAAACCAATTTGTTCAACAACTTGCCCATTCAACAACCGAGATTCCACTGTATTATCATGGTGCCTATAAATACATACTGTCATAGGGTATTAACAATTATGAATAAACAATCATCCTTATAAATTCCCAAGCTTCTTTATTTGCATTTCGAATATCCAACATTTTACTGATGGGCAACACACAAATAGATTCGATAATTCATGGGTTTTCTAGTGGTACCGATTTTTCAGGTTTAGCGCACAACCTCTAAATTGAAACTTGTTACGTATAAAGATTTTGTTCAAAGTATGCTCAGTGGCTTTTCCATCCCCAAATCCCTCTTTTTTTCTGGTTACTTTTACTTGTGAAGAGCAATACCAACTTGATAGGAGACATTGCACAAATACAGTAGAACCTCTACTTGCAAGCGTGTGAGTTTTTCCAAACACGAGCAGTCAATGGGTCGATTTTTTGCTTCCATACGCCAGCAAAATTTTCACAAGCGAGCAAACCTCAAGGCAGGTTCCTTGAGACTGGTGAGAGGCTCTTGCTCTTGATCTCGGGAATTGTATCTCATTTGTTTGTTGGACTATCTTATTGAAACTTGGGCAATGTATGATGGAAAGATGCTTCTTAACGTACACCAAAAATGAAAGAAATCTAAGCCTAAATAATGGAGTTCACTTCTCAGCAATTAGCCACCCCTTAGCGGTAATTTTGAATGGTTTTTATGGCTGTATTCTCGTTTTTTGGGTCTCATGGTCTCATTTGATAGAATGGAAGACATATTACTGAAATAGATATGATTTTGATTGCTTTCATGATGAAAAGTGCCTTGAAATTGAGCTCAACCTAGGAGAAATGGTCCATTGCTTGGCTGTTTCAGAGTAAACAAATAACATCACTGTCCATTCCAACATGCAGTGGTGAATGGGTTGACATTATTTATACAATTATTGCAATAAGGAATAATGGTAAATCCTATATTTTTTGTGTGAATAAAAATTACAAATTATTTATAATAATAATAATAATAATAATAATAATAATAATAATAATAATAATAATAATAATAATAATAATAATAATATGTACAATAATAATAGTATAATAATATACAATAATAATAATAATAATATACTATGTATAATAATATTTTTTTTTTTTTTTTTTTTCAACAAGTCGGCCATCTCCCACCGAGGCAGGGTGACCCAAAAAAAAGAAAGAAAATCCCCAAAAAGAAAATACTTTCATCATCATTCAACACTTTCACCACACTCGCACATTATCACTGTTTTTGCAGAGGTGCTCAGAATACAACAGTCTAGAAGCATACACATATAAAGATACACAACATATCCCTCCAAACTGCCAATATCCCAAACCCCTCCTTTAAAGTGCAGGCATTGTACTTCCCATTTCCAGGACTCAAGTCCGACTATATGAAAATAACCGGTTTCCCTGAATCCCTTCACTAAATATTACCCTGCTCACACTCCAACAGATCGTCAGGTCCCAAGTACCATTCGTCTCCATTCACTCCTATCTAACACGCTCACGCACGCTTGCTGGAAGTCCAAGCCCCTTGCCCACAAAACCTCCTTTACCCCCTCTCTCCAACCCTTTCGAGGATGACCCTATCCCGCCTTCCTTCCCCTATAGATTTATATGCTTTCCATGTCATTCTACTTTGATCCATTCTCTCTAAATGACCAAACCACCTCAACAACCCCTCTTCTGCCCTCTGACTAATACTTTTATTAACTCCACACCTTCTCCTAATTTCCACACTCCGAATTTTCTGCATAATATTTACACCACACATTGCCCTTAAACAGGACATCTCCACTGCCTCCAACCGTCTCCTCGCTGCTGCATTTACCACCCAAGCTTCACACCCATATAAGAGTGTTGGTACTACTATACTTTCATACATTCCTTTCTTTGCCTCCATAGATAACGTTTTTTGACTCCACATATACCTCAACGCACCACTCACCTTTTTTCCCTCATCAATTCTATGATTAACCTCATCCTTCATAAATCCATCCGCCAACACGTCAACTCCCAAGTATCTGAAAACATTCACTTCTTCCATACTCCTCCTCCCCAATTTGATATCCAATTTTTCTTTATCTAAATCATTTGACACCCTCATCACCTTACTCTTTTCTATGTTCACTTTCAACTTTCTACCTTTACACACATTCCCAAACTCATCCACTAACCTTTGCAATTTTTCTTTAGAATCTCCCATAAGCACAGTATCATCAGCAAAAAGTAACTGTGTCAATTCCCATTTTGAATTTGATTCCCCATAATTTAATCCCACCCCTCTCCCAAACACCCTAGCATTTACTTCCTTTACAACCCCATCTATAAATATACAGTGGACCCCCGCATAACGATGGCATCGCATAGCGATTTTTCCGCATAACGATTACTTTTATCGCAAAATTTTTGCCCCGCATACCGATTAAAAACCCGCATACCGATTTTCGTCCGAGACGCGTCCAATGTGCCCTCACATGTGCCGGCCGTCCCATTGTTTACCAGCCAGCCTCCGCGGTAACATCCAAGCATACACTCGGAATATTTCGTATTATTACAGTGTTTTCGGTGGTGTTTCTGGAAAATAAGTGACCATGGGCCCCAAGAAAGCTTCTAGTGCCAACCCTGTGGTAAAAAGGGTGAGAATTAGTATGGAAATTAAGAAAGATTTTGAAGGGTTTGGGGCTAACCCTGAGAAGCCTATGCCAGTTGTGGAATCCATTGTGCCTACTTCAAAGATTAAGGAAATGTGTGCAGAGTGGTTTGAACTGCAAACCTTTATAGATGAAAATCACCCTGACACAGCTGTTGCAAGCCGTGCTTGTGACTATTTCAATGACAATGTTATGGCCCATTTTAGGAAAGTCTTGAAGAAACGGGAGGTACAGAGCTCTATGGACAGATTTGTTGTGCGACAGAGGTCCAGTGACTCTGAAGCTGGTCCTAGTGGCATTAAAAGAAGAAGGGAAGTAACCCCAGAAAAGGACTTGCTACCTCAAGTCCTAATGGAAGGGGATTCCCCTTCTAAACAGTAAGAAGATAATGCTCTCCCCTCCTCCCATCCCATCAATCATCACCAGATCTCAATAAAAGTAAGTGTCATGTAATTGTGCATGCCTTTTTCAGTTTGTGTGTATTAAAATTAACATTTCATGTGGTAAAAAAAATTTTTTTTCATACTTTTGGGCGTCTTGCACGGATTAATTTTATTTCCATTATTTCTTATGGGGAAAATTAATTCGCATAACGATTATTTCGCATAACGATGAGCCCTCTTGCACGGATTAAAATCGTTAACCGGGGGTCCACTGTATTAAACAACCATGGTGACATTACACATCCCTGTCTAAGACCTACTTTTACCGGGAAGTAGTCTCCCTCTCTTCTACACACCCTAACCTGAGCCTCACTATCCTCATAAAAACTCTTTACAGCATTTAATAACTTACCACCTATTCCATATACTTGCAACATCTGCCACATTGCTCCTCTATCCACTCTATCATATGCCTTTTCTAAATCCATAAATGCAATAAAAACTTCCCTATCTTTATCTAAATACTGTTCACATATATGCTTCAATGTAAACACCTGATCTACACATCCCCTACCCACTCTGAAACCTCCTTGCTCATCCGCAATCCTACATTCTGTCTTACCTCTAATTCTTTCAATTATAACCCTACCGTACACTTTTCCTGGTATACTCAGTAAGCTTATTCCTCTATAATTTTTACAGTCTCTTTTGTCCCCTTTCCCTTTATATAAAGGGACTATACATGCTCTCCGCCAATCCCTAGGTACCTTCCCCTCTTTCATACATTTATTAAACAAAAGTACCAACCACTCCAACACTATATCCCCCCCTGCTTTTAACATTTCTGTCATGATCCCATCAGTTCCAGCTGCTTTACCCCTTTCATTTTACGTAATGCCTCACGTACCTCCCCCACACTTACATTCTGCTCTTCTTCACTCTAAAAGATGGTATACCTCCCTGACCAGTGCATGAAATTACTGCCTCTGTTTCTTCCTTAACATTTAAAAAGTTCCTCAAAATATTCTCGCCATCTACCCAATACCTCCATCTCCCCATCTACTAACTCCCCTACTCTGTTTTTAACTGACAAATCCATATTTTCCCTAGGCTTTCTTAACTTGTTTAACTCACTCCAAAATTTTTTCTTATTTTCATTAAAATTTCTTGACAGTGCCTCTCCCACTCTATCATCTGCTCTCCTTTTGCACTCTCTCCCCACTCTCTTTACCTTTCTTTTACTCTCCATATACTCTGCTCTTCTTATAACACTTCTGCTTTGTAAAAACCTCTCATAAGCTACCTTTTTCTCTTTTATCACACCCTTTACTTCCTCATTCCACCAATCACTCCTCTTTCCTCTGCCCCCACCCTCCTATAACCACAAACTTCTGCCCCACATTCTAATACTGCATTTTTAAAACTATTCCAACCTCTTCAACCCCCCACTACTCATCTTTGCACTAGCCCACCTTTCTGCCAATAGCCCGCTTATATCTCACCGAACTTCCTCCTCCCTTAGTTTAACACTTTCACCTCCCTCTTACTTGTTGTTGCCACCTTCCTCTTTTCCCATCTACCTCTTACTCTAACTGTAGCTACAACTAAATAATGATCCGATATATCAGTTGCCCCTCTATAAACATGTACATCCTGGAGCCTACCATCAACCTTTTATCCACCAATACATAATCTAATAAACTACTTTCATTACGTGCTACATCATACCTTGTATATTTATTTATCCTCTTTTTCATAAAATATGTATTACTTATTACCAAATTTCTTTCTACACATAGCTCAATTAAAGGCTCCCCATTTACATTTACCCCTGGCACCCCAAATTTACCTACTACTCCCCTCCATAACATTTTTACCCACTTTAGCATTGAAATCCCCAACCACCATTACTCTCACACTTGATTCAAAACTCCCCACACATTCACTCAACATTTCCCAAAATCTCTCTCTTCCTCTACACTTCTCTCTTCTCCAGGTGCATACACGCTTATTATAACCCACTTTTCACATCCAATCTTATTTTAACTCCACATAATCCTTGAATTAATACAAATTTTTTAGTCCCTCTTTTCCTGCCATAGGTTATCCTTCAACATTATTGCTACTCCTTCTTTAGCTCAACTCTATTTGAAACCCCTGACCTAATCCCATTTATTCCTCTCCACTGAAACTCTCCCCACCCCCTTCAGCTTTGTTTCACTTAAAGCCAGGACATCCAGCTTCTTCTCATTCATAACATCCACAATCATCTCTTTCTTATCATCTGCACAACATCCACGCACATTCAGACTTCCCACTTTGACAATTTTCTTCTTCTTTATTCTTTTTAGTAATCTTACAGGAAAAGGGGTTACTAGCCCATTGTTCCCGGCATTTTAGTTGACTTTTACAACACGCATGGCTTACGGAGGAAAGATTCTTATTCCACTTCCCCATGGATATAAAAGGAAAATTAATAAGACCAAGAACTATTAAGATAAAATCAAAGAAAACTCAGATGAGTGTGTATAAATAAATGTGTACATGTATGTGTAGTGTGACCTAAGTGTAAGTAGAAGTAGCAAGACATGCCTGTAATCTTGCATATTTATGAGACAGACAAAAGACATCAGCAATCCTACCATCACGTAAAACAATCACAGGCTTTCGTTTTACACTCACTTGGCAGGACGGTAGTACCTCCCTGGGTGGTTGCTGTCTACCAACCTATTATATTACTTATATAAAAATGAATTTACATCCAGCTTATAGGGAAAACGATCTTTACTAAAATATCACAAATATCACAATATCACAATAAAATAAAATATCACAATATTGGCAGTTTGGAGGGATATGTTGTGTATCTTTATATGTGTATGCTTCTAAACTGTTGTATTCTGAGCACCTCTGCAAAAACAGTGATAATGTGCGAGTGTGGTGAAAGTGTTGAATGATGATGAAAGTATTTTCTTTTTGGGGATTTTCTTTCTTTTTTTTGGGTCACCCTGCCTCGGTGGGAGACGGCCGACTTGTTGAAAAAAAAAAAAAAAAAATCACAATACATTGCATATAGTATATATTTAGATTAAAAAATTATATAATTGGTTTTTACTTTTAATACTAAGATGTGCATAAATAAAAGGATTTGAATTTATTGGTCCACAATCAATTTCCATCTGCTCTATTATGTCTGTAGTCTAGCAAAACCCAATGTGCTATTTGATTACTGGAGATGTCTAACTATAACTGAATCATAACAATACCTGAATATTTTCAATTATATTTGTTAAGAATGAAGTGCCATAGCTGAGCCATGAGGAGTAAGAATTGGCATAGTGAGAAGCTTCATGTCGAGCTTCTTGGTCCGCTCTCCATGCAGCTTCCAAACCATCAAGTTGGGCAATTTTGCGAGCCTGAAATGCTGCTTCTTCTGCTTCTTCATCAAACTGTGACCAAAAAAAAAAAAATTACTGGTAAGTATATTCCTCTCTGCTTTAACCATTCACAGGAAGTTCATACAAACTGACCTGATCCTCAACAGTGAGACACTGTGTTTTTGCTTATTTTATGAAAGTCAAAATTTGGCCAAGATGAGTAAGAAAGTGTAGCTATTAATTTTATTAAATGATGGTCACAAGGGTTACTTATTTTTTATCTGTTGAGCCTCCAAGAATGTAACCCATGCAAATGATGTTTTACTGTGTGAATACTTCATTAATATGCAATTTATAATTTTTACTGGAGTGTAAGTAAAAGGGTGTATACAAAAATACTAGTTAATTCAAAAAAGTAACAATTCAAAAAATTACTTTTATCAAAGTAATGTACTTATTAAGCTGGTATGATTATACATAGTGAAGCTACCACCATTTGGCTATAAGTAAAGAATGGAGCCTCTTCTCAAAGACATGTATGAGACATGAGCAAATGAAACAAATAAATACACAAAGAAAAATATGAATAATAAAAAACAGTATTAATTAAGAGGGAAATGTGAAGGTGGCATATGCTCCACAGAATGTCAAGTTTGAATGTTTCCAAAGAAGAGAACTATCATTGGAGAAAAATAAGTATCTGTGTCTCCCTAGCACTAGTTTTCTACTATTGTATCATGTAACTAACATTCAATATTTGCTGATTAATAATAAAATGTACTGGTGATAGGGAACACCCTATCGCCCTTTTTTCAACAGAAGAAGTCACAGGTATAAATTTAATTGAAGCCAAGGGGATATTAGAAACTTTTTTTCTTCACAAATAGGATAGAAGAATGGAATAAATTGAAAGAGGCAGTAGTAAGTGCTACAACCATTAGAAATTAAGAAATTATATGATGACTATCAATAGTCAGTTTGGGAACAGAACTACAGATGTTCCTCTTAACATAATGATAAACAGATCACCTATCACAAAGCTCACAGAGAGAAAATTCTTAGGAATCCACCTTGATAATAGACTCAAATTTCAAACACATGTGCAACAAATTTCCAAGGAAATCTCCAAGACCGTAAGCATACTACTGAAGATACGGTACTATGTTCCACAACCAGCCCTCCTGGGCCTATATCACTCACTCATTTATCCCTATCTCACCCATGGAATTTGTCATGGGGCTCAACAACAATAAATCATCTCAGACCATTAATTACCCAACAAAAGGCTGCAGCCAGAATGATAACAAATTCCCACTCCAAGCAGCTACTCCACCAATATTCAAAACTCTAAACTTACTCACCATACAAAACATCCATACTTATTGTTGTGCTTACTACATACATAGAACACTAAACTCGGATACAAACCCTCCCCTCAAACTTTTCCTTACCAACCTCAACAGAACACATGACCATCACACAAGGCACAGATCACTCTTTGATATTCCCCATGTCCAACTCACACTATGTAAAAACTCAATGCACATAAAAGGCCCAAAAATTTGGAATTCGTTATCTGTGAATATAAAAGAAACACTGTTTATCAATTCAAGACTCTTCTTGAAAACCACTTACTCACCCACAACTAAATAAATACTGATTAACTGTATCTCATAAATGTATAACCTGTGACCCTATCAAACTATGTTTTTTTTTTAATTACATTACCTAATAGAATACTTCATTCTCTTGAATGCACAGTAACTCATCTAATGACCACATGACCTGTTTCTGCACTACAAATCATTGATTTTATTCGCTATGATCGGATAATATTATACACTGTTATGCTACAGATTTGTACAACTCTAATGCTTCTCTTAAATGCACAGTAACTCATCTAATGACCATATGACCTGTTACCGCACTACAAATCACTGATTTTATTCGATTTGATCAGATCATATTATACATTGTTAAGCTACAAATTAGTGCAACTTTAATGCTTCTTATTTGAAATACTCATTTGTACTTCATGTTGTAATTTGTTTATTGTAATTTTTACCACTGAATACAGTGGACCCCCGGCTTACGATATTATTTCATTCCAGAAGTATGTTCAAGTGCCATTACTGAATGAATTTGTTCCCATAAGGAATATTGTGAATTAGATTAGTCCATTTCAGACCCCCAAACATACACGTACAAACGCACTTACATAAATACACTTACATAATTGGTCGCATTGGGAGCTGATCGTAAAGCGGGGGTCCACTGTATATCACTGCCCGGTGGCCTGGTGGCTAAAGCTCCCGCTTCACACACAGAGGGCCCGGGTTTGATTCCCGGCGGGTGGAAACATTTCGACATTTCCTTACACCTGTTGTCCTGTTCACCTAGCAGCAAATAGGTACCTGGGTGTTAGTCGACTGGTGTGGGTCGCATCTTGGGGAACAAGATTGAGGACCCCAATGGAAATAAGTTAGACAGTCCTCGATGACGCACTGACTTTCTTGGGTTATCCTGGGTGGCTAACCCTCCAGGGTTAAAAATCCGAATGAAATCTTATCTTATCTTCTCTTAATCTTAAGTTAATTTTAAGCCTGCCCATAATGCTCTGCATACAAGGGGCTTTTGGCATGTACACCCAATCACTGTACAGTGGACCCCCGGTTTACGATATTATTTCATTCCAGAAGTATGTTCAGGTGCCAGTACTGGCCGAATTTGTTCCCATAAGGAATATTGTGAATTAGATTAGTCCATTTCAGACCCCCAAACATACACATACAAACGCACTTACATAAATACACTTACATAATTGGTCGCTTTGGGAGTTGATCGTAAACCGGGGGTCCACTGTATTTCTTTGTACAACTATGTATCATGTTCAAATAAAAATAAATAAATAAATAAATAAATAAATAAAGATGGGACACCAGAAGCATATAGCTTTGCTGCTGTTGCTGAAAATAAATATTTACCGTAATGTACATCTCACGAGACATTTTATGGAAAAATCTTGAAAGAAAAAATTAATAACAGTACAGACATATACTCTACCTGAAATCTTAAAGAGTATTCATAGACAAACTATATAGAATATTCATACCAAGAGATACTACTAGTACATCTTTAACATACATTTAATGTTACTATTGAAAAGCATTCTAACATTTTACACTACAAATTTCAGGGTCACACTAATAAAGTAGTTTCATCCATTTAATATTTGGCTTATTCTGTCCCACTACTAATTTTGGTTGCACAAAAAGTATTTGCCATACCTCCTCCAGTTTTACAGGTCCTGCCACAAGATATAGCTGCTCGAACATAATGACCCATGGTTCCGAGCGTAAACGTGAAACTGGTATCTGAAGTTTTATTTTCCCAACAAATCCAGTGCGGACCTCGACTGGCATGTCCAGGTGCCGCAAAGCATCCTTTCGTAGAGGTACATTTTCCAGTTCAACTTCTCCTGTGTGATTAATGTATTAATATTATACTGATAACTGCAAATCTAGATCCTCAAAATAACAATATTTATAGTTAAGTAAAGTCCTTTATACCTGTTCTAACTAAATTAAAACCCATGCAAAATGTACTATAAAGGAAGTGGGGAAAAATTTCCTTGTGTCTAATTGATGGTTCATATCTGTTTACATTATAGTGTAATGACAGCCCGATTAGACAGGCTGCAGCATGTAGACCCACATAGGCATTATAACCAGAGCAATCAGCTATATTTTCTTTCAATACTAATGTCATACCTGTGATCAATTTTAATGGTTCTTCTAACCTCTGCAGCCCAGCCTAAGGTCAAGCCTCCCTGCCGACTGCCAGGTCAACTAGGTTATTGGTGCTAACAACCCAAAAGTTTACAAAGCAATCACAAACCAGCTGATCAGTCACTTGCAGGAGATAACTGCATAGTTTTCCCTACAAAACTTCTGCAATACTTTCATTAAAGTAATGTTCAATACTTCTTTCATGCTACTTAGAACAAATGTTAGACAAATATTTTAGGTGCACAATACCTTTAACCCCTTCAGGGTCCAAGGCCCAAATCTGAAGTGGTGCCCCAGTATCCAAGAATTTTCAAAAAAAAAAAATTGTTATTTTTTCTTATGAAATGGTAAAGATTCTTTTTGTGAAGGTAATAAAACAAAAAGTACGAAATTTGATGGACTATTGACGAAATTATGCTCTCGTGAATTTTGATGTGTCAGCGATATTTACGAATCGGCGATTTTGCCGACTTTGACTCCCATTTTAGGCCAATTACATTATTCCAGTCAACCAAATTCTTAGCTATTTCACTAGTATTACTTCTATTCTATCGATTGAGCACAAGAAATCACCAAGTCAACTGTTTCAACTACAAAATAAAGTGATCGGAAATTGTTAATTTTGCCAATTTAACACAAAGTTCAAAATATTCCAATTTCAAAATAGGGTCCAGAATAAACAATGTAGGTATTCCTGGAACTAAACTAACATTTTTTCTGTTCATTAGTTACATTTTGAGACTTTACAAATAAATTCCATTTTGATTTTTTATTCACATAATGAATTTTTATTCACACCAAAAAATAGAAGATTTACTGTTATGCAATACTGTAATAATTGTATAAATATCATCATCATATTTGTGAATGTATATTAGACCCACCAGCTGGCGTGTATTAGACGTGCGAGGTCGTTTGTTTACTCTTGAATATTGGTAAAAATTTAACATTTACGCTACTTTGAGCTCAGTTTCAAGCAATTTCCAGTGCTAAAACCAATCAAAATCATCTCTATTTCTGTAATATGTCTTCCATTCTATCAAATGAGACCAAGAAATCGCAAATACAACTATAAAAAACATAAGAAAAAACACTGCTAAGTCGCTGTTTTAATTGAAAAATCATGATTTCAGTTTTTTTTCTCTCATTATACACAGTGTGCTGCAGGATTTGTTTTATGTGGTGCACACATACCACATAGATGTATTCTCTCATATCTAGGCCCAAATGTACCACTCACAGTTTATCAGAGTGAGCTGAGCTCATGACGTAGATCTACGGTTTGGACCCTGAACGTAAAGCCGTAGATCTACGGGACGGACCCTGAAAGGGTTAAAATGTTAGCACATTTGAAATGCCCAAGATATTCAGTTTCCCATGGGAACAAACATTAAAATATAAATAAGGTAATTATTGTATAGAAAGCTATAAAAGCTCAAATATATAAGTATATACAAGATACATATATCATACACGTTAGTGTTTAGCTTGATTCCAGGTATCTATTTACAAAAAATGCTCAATTTTTTATACATATCTAGAGCATAAGTCAACCCTAGTGTTCCAGGGTCAGTATGACAACTTTTGCAAATTAATATACTAGCTACTCTGAATACATTATTAAGTTCAGAATAAGCTAGCAAAGAAAAGTAAATGTACTAGCCGATGTGCTAATAAAATATGAGGACAGTAGCACTACAAGATTAATTTTGGTAAAACAATCATGCCCAGCTTTATGTCATTTTGGCCCATGTCAAATTCACCTTTACATCACTTTTCTAGAGTAAATTTCAGTTCAGTGAACATCATTATGTCCAACTTTACATCAGTCAGCAACGTCACCTATGTCATAATTTTTTGTGTTCATTATTCTTTAAAAATATGAGTAAAATGTAATTTTAGTGTTCTTTAATGGGTTAAGGTTTAGCAACAGTTATATTCTTTCGTGAGTTATTTATGCTAGTTTTATTGTGTTTTTCGTCATTTTAAGGCATTTTTAAGGCATTATACTCAGTTTACATAAAAAAACGGATTACGTCACGGCTCTTGGAACCAATTAATGACATAGGTTGGTATGACTGTATATTTAATGTGTAATAAAAATAACAAGAAATACTGCTCAGAAATACTACTAATGAATATTTCAAGACCCTACTTTTTACCTGAAAGTCTGGTCTTAAACCTTAAACTGTAGCTCAATTTCTAGCACACTCAGCTCACACACCAAGGTTCAGGGGTCAATCCCCGGTATGGGTGGAAACACTAGGACATGCTTCCTTAAGACACCTGCTGTCCTTGTTCACGTAGCAGCAAAATAAGTACCTGGGAGTTAGCTGACTAATGCATGTTGCATCCTGGGGACAAAACTAACCTAATTTGCCCAAAATGCTTTGCATAACAAGGGGCTTTCTGCACAGTTGTATGTCATTGATGTCAGCTAGGCGTGTATACAATGTACATGTACTTATAGAAATAAATATTACCCTATTATCATTATTATTATTAGATATATTCGATAATAGATATGGTGTCCCGTAGCTCAATCGCTAGTGCACTCAGCTCACACACTGAGGTCCGGAGTTCAAATCTCCAGTACGGCTGGATAACATTAGGACATGTTTCCATAAGACACCTGCTGTCCTTGTTCACCCATCAGTATAAAATGGGTACCTGGGTGTTAGTCAACTAGTGTGGGTTGCATCCTGGGACAAACCTGACCTAATTTGCCTGAAATGATCTTCATAACAAGCGGCTTTCTATATAATAGTATGTCACTGATGTCAGCTAGGCCTGTATACCTTGTACATGTACTAGTAGAAATAATAATTATTATTATTATTATTATTATTATTATTACCAACACTTTTATATGGGTGTGAAGCTTGGGTTGTAAATGCTGCAGCGAGGAGGCGGTTGGAGGCAGTGGAGATGTCCTGTCTAAGGGCAATGTGTGGTGTAAATATTATGCAGAAAATTCGGAGTGTGGAAATTAGGAGAGGGTGTGGAGTTTATAAAAGTACAGTGGACCCCCGGTTAACGACATTTTTTTACTCCAGAAGTATGTTCAGGTGCCAGTACTGACCGAATCTGTTCCCATAAGGAATATTGTGAAGTAGATTAGTTCATTTCAGACCCCCAAACATACACGTACAAACGCACTTACATAAATACACTTACATAATTGGTCGCATTCGGAGGTGATCGTTATGCGGGGGTCCACTGTATTAGTCAGTGGGCTGAAGAGGGTTTGTTGAGGTGGTTTGGTCATTTAGAGAGAATGAATCAAAGTAGAATGACATGGAGAGCGTATAAATCTGTAGGGGAAGGAAGGCGGGGTAGGGGTCGTCCTCGAAAAGGTTGGAGGGAGGGGGTAAAGGAGGTGTTGTGGGCAAGGGGTTTGGACTTCCAGCAAGCGTGCACGAGCGTGTTAGATAGGAGTGAATGGAGACGAATGGTATTTGGGACCTGACGAGCTGTTGGAGGGTGAGCAGGGTAATATTTAGTGAAGGGGTTTAGGGAAACCGGTTATTTTATATAACCAGACTTGAGTAATGGAAATAGGAAGTACAATGCCTGCACTCTAAAGGAGGGGCTTGGGATATTGGCAGTTTGGAGGGATATATTGTGTATTTTTATATGTATATACTTCTAAACTGTTATATTCTGGGCACCTCTGCAAAAACAGTGATTATGTGTGAGTGAGGTGAAAGTGTTGAACGAGATGAAAGTATTTTCTTTTTGGGGATTTTCTTTCTTTTTGGGTCACCCTGCCTCGGTGGGAGACGGCCGACTTGTTGAAAAAAAAATTATTATTATTATTATTATTATACAGTACAGCACCTATATTACAGTATTTTTAACACATCAGCTATTTCCCACCAAGGCAGGGTGACTCAAGAAAGAAAATAAAAATATACATGGCTAATATTTTCAGTACCTTTCAATAAACCAATTGATAACTGGTCTGTGTGTAAATTCTCCAAATATTTCCCCAAGTAGTTGTTGAGGACCCATGTTGCCAAACCCTCAAGCATACTGCCTGCCTGGATCTTTATTACTTCTTCAGCCTCAATGACCTGGAAAAAATACAATACTCTTGTAATCAACCATTAACTAAAAAGCACAGAAATACGTATCCCACTCCCTCTTTCTGGTTTTGTATTTTGTAATGCACAAGCAGTTTCATGAGAAGTGAGGGTTACAAAATAACAACAAATGCCAAGTAAGTAAATTTATTCAGGTATAAGCATACATAAATACGGTTACATAAATAATTATACATAGCAGCATGTGTAGATTACCTGGGATAACCCCAAAAAAGTCAAAGTGACTTATTTTTATTGGAGGTCCTTTTAATTAAGAAAACAAGCACTTTTAAATGCTGGACACAACATGAAAAAGTAATGTCAGCCAATGTATAAATGGTTGATTTTCCAATCTTTAAGCCAACTAGCAAGCTAACCCTGTCACTTGTGAATCTGGGGAAGCACCAAACCCAGGGATCGTATAGCACCTGGGGAATGGGAGGCATTCTGGTTATTCCAATGAAGGGGGTAAGTCCAGTTCCTTGGATCAAAAGCCCCTCACTGGCATTAAAGCACTTCCCTTAAATCTGCATAATATACTACCTATGTATACCTACAACATGTGTGTGCCCACCACACCTCTCCACCCACAGTAACTTTATTTAGATACAGGTACACGTAAGTACAGTCATCATAAATAGTGTAAATTACCTAGGATAACCCAAAACAGTGAGACCCACTGCTCTCTACCCACAGCAACTTATTAACACACTAATTCACTACCTAACACAGTAATTCACTACCTAACACAGTAATTCACTACCTAACACAGTAATTCACTACTTAACACAGTAATTCACTACCTAACACAGTAATTCACTACTTAACACAGTAACTTACTAACACACTACCTAACAGTAACAATAGCACCCACAGCTATTTCCACGGTAAGGTAGAAAACCACCTCAAACACACATACCTCAACAGTTAAATAAATCACTCCAACAACAGAAAAACAGAGCAGATTTCATCATTAACCTCATTATCCACAAAATAATGATATAAACATTATTGCATAATACAAGCCATTGTTGCAGTACCGAATTCAACAGTTATTACAAGGGAAACTCCACTTCAAATATCGCCTCCTCCTCACCTATGGGTTCAGCAACTGATCATTACTAAGTTGGAGATGAATGACATTGTATGTCTCCTCCTCAAGGGTGAATCATTGATGATAATGTTGCTGTTGCTGGCCAGACAAAATAGTGTCGAGTCTGGCAGCCACGTTCACTACCTCCCATTCTCTCACAACTCATTCATTCTTTTTTAATATTATATACCTTCATTTTTATAGTCATACGTTGTATAAACACATATACATACATGCATTCACACGCCGTTCCTCTATTAATCTGGTCTTTGGAAAACCAAAAATAAATAAGAAAGCAGAATTATTTCACGTATTTACTTTTTTGTTTTAAGAAATATGATTCATGAGTTTAGATACGTAATTGTGAATTCTAGCAATTATATCAAGTTTTACTTAGGCCTAATAAATAATTTAAAACTTCACCATGGTATTATATGGTAAGTTGTATAGAAATTAACCTACGATAACCGAATCAAGTCTTAGGATGTGTATAAGATAAGATTTGTTCGGATTTTTAACCCTGGAGGATCAGCCACCTATGATAACCCAAGAAAGTCAGTGCTTCACCGAGGATTGTATTGCCATTTTGATCCTTCAAGACAAATATTTATTTCAGCATGATACAATGTTTGTACAGATATAAGTGACATTTGGTTGTGCATGTAGAAAGCCTATAGTTATGCAGGGCATTTCGGGGAAGCTTAATTAAACGCATAACTTAAAGAATACAATGTATGCAAAACTATTGTTATTCTCTATAAAATGTATTTTTTGTTAATATTTCCCATGAGAAATAATGTAAATCCAATTAAACCATTCCAGACACCCAAAAATATTAACAAAAAATACATTTTATAGAGAATAACAATAGTTTTGCATACAGAAAAGGGACTACTAAATTCGAGGGTCCACTGTATTTGCTTATATTGTCTCCCAGGATGCGACTCACACCCGTCGACTAACACTCAGGTACTTACTTACTGCTAGGTGAACAGGGACAGTTGTAAGGCAACATGCCCAATAAGTCTACTAGTTCCGGGGAATAACAGCAGAGCAGTTTATTTAGTTACAGGTTCACATAAGTACAATAATCACACATAATAACATGTGTGTAAATTCTCTAGGATAACCAAAAAAAAACCTGTCTTCTAGTATCTTTCGTCCATGTTACCTAACAGTAAATAGATACCCATGAGTTAGTCGACTGTTATGGGTTGCATTTTATAATAATAATTATCTGTATTCCTACAAGTACATGTGTACAGATCATAGCTGACAGCACTGACATACTATATAGAAAGCCCCTTGTTATGCAGAGCATTTCGGGCAAATTAGGTTCATTTTGTCCTAAGATGCGACTCACACCCAGTCCACTAACACCTAGGTACCTATTTACTGCTAGGTGAACATGGACAGCAGGTGTCTTAATGAAACACGTCCTAATGTTTTCATCCGTACCTGGGATCGACCCCCGAACCTCAGTGTGTGAGGTGAGTGTGCTAACACTCGAACTACGTAGTGGAGGCAGGAACCATACACAGTTTTAAGACGAGGTTTGATAAAGCTCATGGAGCGGGGAGAGAGAGGACCCAGTAGCAACCGGTGAAGAGGCGGGGCCAGGAGCTAAGACTCGACCCCTGCAACCACAAATAGGTGAGTACAGCTTGGAACATCTTGGAGAAAGACTAAAAAAAAGACCCTTAATACAAGTGGGTCACATTATTTTTATTTTACTTGGTTATCATGGGTTAAATTTACACAATGTAAAAAAAAAATGTGGTCATAACATATGTGTGCCCTCAAGACCATTGTAAAAAAAAAAATTATATGTTAAGTATGCATCAGCTAAATAAAAACTTATTGAGCTGTGGCTCGTACGTTGGATTGAGTGCAGCCAGCAGTAACAGCCTGGTTGATCAGGCCCTGATCCACCATGAGGCCTGGTCACAGACCGGGCCGCGGGGGCGTTGACCCCCGGAACTCTCTCCAGGTAGTCCTCCGGAATTTCTGATCCCAATAAAGTCTTCGATCCCACTCACACAGTATCATGCTGTAATCCAAATAAAGTCTTCCTCGATCGTCATTCATACTGTATCATACCATAATCCTAGAAAGAGCCACATATAGTAAACTCAGCTATAATAATCAGCAGATTTAGCTGATACTGCCGACTGATATAAGGTCTGACTTCTCTGACATTTTTGGGTTATCCCAGGTTCTCTACACATATACTGCTATGTATGATAATGTATGTAACTGTAAGTAAGTAAGTTTATTCAGGTATACGCAAATACAGTTACATAGAATTATCATACATAGCAGCACATGTGTAGAGAACGTAGGATAACCCAAAAAAGTCAGACAGAGTGACTTATTTGCATTGGGGTCCTTGAATAAACTTACTTGCCTCATATTTCTAGAGAGAGATTTAAGTAACTTGCTGTGTACACGAGCTACACTGTAGTGAGCCGAGTGCTCGATGTGTATTATAATAATAATATCTTTATTTTACTACAAGTACATGTACAAGGTATACAGTCCTAGCTGATAACAATGACATACTACTATATAGAAAATCCCTTGTTATGCTCCGCATTTCGGGCAAATTAGGTCAGTGTCCCAGGATGCGACCCACACCAGTCGACCAGGTACCCATTTTACTGATGGGGAACATAGACAACAGGTGGAAAGAAACACGTTCAATGTTTCTACTCATGTTTCTACTCTGTCTGGGAATCGAACCCAGGCCCTCGCCTTGTGTGAAGCGAGAGCGTTAACCACCAGGCCACCAGAGCCCCTACATTCTAACCAGAGTAAAACTTTACTTCACTAGTAATTCAGAACGTAGATTTGAGATGAAATGAAACTAATTAAAGTTCCCCCGTTGGGATACCTAATTAATACCGTATACCTGGAGGGTGTTTCGGGGGTCAACGCCCCCGTGGCCCGGTCCATGACCAGACCTAGCTGTGGATCAGGGCTTGATCAACCAGGCTGTTACTTCTGGCACACGCAAACCGACGTACGAACCACAGCCCGATTGGTCGGGAATTGACTTTAGGTGTTAGTATGTTGAGTGCCAGTATGTGCAGTATGTCGATTAAATTTGTAATCCTTGTGTTTCAGGGACTACTGGAGATAGCTACCAAGGCGACGACATATAGTAATCCATAAAATTTGTTTTAAATTCTTTAATTAATTGGTAAGGTTTGTCAGGAAACAAGACAAGTGTTTCCTGACGCGGGCCTTTGGAGCTTTGGTCATCTGACCGAGGCCTTCCACTGGCTTACCGGTCCACCCCTTTAAAAATAATGGTCATTTATAACCAATTGATAGTTTATAATTAATAACAGTAATAAAATGTTGTCGATAATTCGATCTTGCATTCTTCTGTGTTGAAGAGTAGCGACGGTCCCAGGGCCGTATGAACCATACTGCCAGAAACATATATTTTCCTCTCATGTCCGCTGCTCGTATCAATCGGGAGTATGTGTCTCGTTGGAAATAAATGGTATCAAATACCGACACATTGGAAATATAAACACATATGCAGTATAATGTGATCCTTTATTGACAACGTTTCACCCACACAGTGGGCTTTTTCAAGTCACACAGATCTACCTGGGGTGGAAGGTACGGGAGTATTTATAGTCATGTTCAGAATGTTGAGGTCAGGTGGAGAATGCTGCATCTGATGATCTACCGGGTGGAGTTATAGAGTCTTGGGTAGCTTGGCAGGGGTATTGGACAAGTTGTGAGTAGACCTTCTGCAGTGTTCTATGTTCTTATGTGGGATAGCGATGAAGAAGTTTCTTGGCGAGTGGTTCAACTATGTTATAGAAGCCGTTGTTCTGGTTGAAATTGTTGGTTATAGAGATAAGCGATGATTCCAAGATTCTTCGGTATTGAGTGTTGTCTTCTGTGGCGATAAGTCTTGAGTTTCTGTAGTTAATTAAATGGTTGTGTGAATTGCGATGTTGTACACAGGCATTCCTTGTATCGTCAGTCCTGCTTGCATATTGGTGTTCTGAAATACGTGTTTGGAGGTCTCTTGATGTTTCGCCCACATGCAATTTGTTGCAGTCATTACAAGGGATTATGTATACCCCTGCAGAGGATGGAGGCTTGTCCTGTTTACTATTGGTGATGTCCTTGATGGTCGTGGTTGTGGAGGTAGATACTTGGAATGATGTATTGGAAAAGATGTTGGAAACATGTTTGGCAATGGAGTTGGTGGGGAGGACTATGTATCTCTTCTCGGCAGTGTCTTCTCTGGGTGTGTTGAAGATGTTTAATGCCCGCCGTCTGCAGTCTCTGATGAAGTGACGAGGATAGTGAAATTTAGAAAATACTTGTTCAATTATAGTGCATTCTTCCTCAAGGAACTCATTGCTGCAGATTCTGAGTGCACGCAGGAAGAAGCCTATAATTACACCACGTTCGGTTTTGGTGTCGTGGTGAGAGTAGAAGTGGAGAAGATCGTTTTGGTTGGTGGGTTTTCGATATACTTTAAAACGAAGTTCGTGGTCAGCTTTGCAGAGCAGAACATCAAGGAAAGGAAGAGTGTTGTCGACTTCTTCTTCAAGTGTGAACTGGATTGAAGGCTCGACCTGGTTGAGCTTGTCTTGGAGAGCTTGAACGTTGAAGCGTTTAGGAGTTATGAGGAGAATGTCGTCAACAAAACAAATTCTGGCCACAAAATAGAGCGAAACACCAACGTCAAAGACCTGGGAGTGATTATGTCGGAGGATCTCACTTTCAAGGACCATAACATTGTATCAATCGCATCTGCTAGAAAAATGACAGGATGGATAATGAGAACCTTCAAAACTAGGGAGGCCAAGCCCATGATGACACTCTTCAGGTCACTTGTTCTATCTAGGCTGGAATATTGCTGCACACTAACTGCACCTGCATAACGGAGCTGGCTCCGTTATGTTGACATTCTCCTCATAACTCCTAAACGCTTCAACGTTCAAGCTCTCCAAGACAAGCTCAACCAGGTCGAGCCTTCAATCCAGTTCACACTTGAAGAAGAAGTCGACAACACTCTTCCTTTCCTTGATGTTCTGCTCTGCAAAGCTGACCACGAACTTCGTTTTAAAGTCTATCGAAAACCCACCAACCAAAACGATCTTCTCCACTTCTACTCTCACCACG